GTGCATTTTTCTCCGGGTCATCCGGTTTTTTCCTCCACATTTAGAAACGTGCGTTTTGGTGAAAATGAGCTAATAGCTCAGTGAGCTTCACCTGGTAAAATACCAAAAATGATATGCTTTTGCTCAGCTAGTCACATCCAATGTTCTCATCTTGCCCCACGGCATCCTTCCATCTCGCCCTCGGGTCTCTGCCTACTCCTTCTGCCCTGCACCCCTCCTCACCACATGCCCAGACCATCTAAGTCTCGCTTCTCTGACCTCAACAATATTAGTAACCCCTGCTGAGGCTAAAGCATCTTCTGTCTCCTTTCCCTTTGAGATATTCCCCAGATGCATTCAATTGTAGGTCATTGGATGCCACAACAATCCCTGTACAACGTGCACTGATGTTTTACGCTGGTGAGCATTCAAACGACGTGGCCTTACTTTGAAAGCTTTGAGCAGCTTGGCAAGTTATCAAATACTGTATTGCTACCAAGACGTTCGTACATCCGAACAATGAAAATCACGGTCCATATTTATGTATGACTATCACACGTTGCAGGCATAGTGGTGTACGTTCCTGTAATACATATCTTTGTAAGGAGCGGTTCGTGGATCGCGCAGAAATGTGTGGAACTCCCAAAGCTGATGGGCTGTGAGGTGGCCAGTAGGTGGGAGTGTGGTGGCAGGTCATTCTGTTAACCCACTCGTGAGGAGCTCGCAGGATACCATAGTGGTTAACTACCTCGCCTGGTTAACTACCTCGCCTGGTTAACTACCTCGCCTGGTTAACTACCTCGCCAGGAGGGTTCGATCCCTACCCTGACGCCTGCTGTATATTTGGAGTTTGCGCGTTCTCCCCGTGGGTCGCGTGGATTTTTTCCCAGGTCGTCCGGTTTTCCCCTCCACATTTAGAAACATGCTTTTAGAGTATTTGGCTGCTATAAATGTCCACGTGATAAGCCACTTTGTTCAGCTATCATTAGTAACCAGGTAACTTCTGAAAAACAGCTACATAGCTCAGTGGGCCTTATGTGGTAAAATCAAAATAGTTTAGTCAATAGTTTTTAGCCTCATCCCCATTACATGCGTGGGTTTTTTTCAGGGTAGCCCAATTTAATCCGGCAATTAAAGAACGTACGCTTGAAATGGAGTTGAATCAAACATCCCGATGCAGGATCCTCATGGAAACGTCTTGATACCTGGTGAGGTTTCCTTAAATGAGTACACGCCGTGACCATTATTACAGTACAAGCTGTAACAACTCCTGCAGTGCCTCATTAAAACACGATAGTGCAGAGAGACCCCCGTATTTATAGCCCTCAAGTAGCGTGCTCTAATTATGTCTTGTTGCTACACACGTGTTGACAAGGTGTCCATGTTCCCCCCCCCCCCCCCCCCCCCCCCCCCCAAGTTACATCTGTAGCACTGATGGCTGAAGATGTTATTTCGGCAAATTGTTGTGACTCTTTCTTTGGCATTGCACTCAAGGAGTCCTAATCACGTAACAGATAGCTTCAGAACTATATGCAGCTTCAGCTCCGCTCCCTTGGAGTCCTTTGTGGGGGGGGTTGGGGGAAATGCATCAATTTGCTTCTCCCAGTAATTGTCTGCGTCAGTCAGCCGCAGCAGATGCTTTGCCACCACCGTTGTTGCCGTGGCTTTTCCCTTGGCCGTGCCACCACGATTGAGGACTGACGGTGACCAGGTCGCCGCCACCGCCGCCAAAACCCCCGTGGCCCGCCGCGAACAGATTGTGCGGGGACTGCGAGACGGCGGCGGTGACAGCGAGCGCGGCCCTTCGCCAAAGGCGCAGCGTGTTGGAGAGCACGTTGAGAGATGGCCGGGGCCGGTGGGTTGGGGTGGTGGTGGTGGTGGTGTGGTGCTGTGTTCGGAATCGGAATGGTGGGGGAACATGGTTGCGGCTCGTGTGTCACTTTGACGTTTTGTGCACGTGCAGGTTTGGGAATCCCCTAAATGTCCCCCACACCCACCCGCAGTAATGGGCCGTTGTAGGAATGTAGTGTTTCTGCCCCGCTTTGTGAGTCTTTCAATTGCCACGATTCGGTGTGATGATTTTATTTGAGAATCAGTTGTTTTATTTTTCTTCTTCGTCTTCTTCCGGTGTGGTGATTGTAGAACCGATACTGCCCGCAAGGTTTATTTATTGCTTGTCCACAAAACTGCCTTTGTGTGCGTCTTGGCGACTAACCACAGTTCCGGAGCCTTTCCAAGTTTGCCATTCTTCTCCACTCAAATACAGATTGAGTTGTTGCACGCCGCACATGACTGATGATCGCTCAACATGGCCCACATGATGAATAGAGCGTTGATTAAAATTAAAAGCCCTCGCTGACGCATGGGACAAAGAGGCTCGCGTTTATACATAACGCACACGCAAAATCTTGATTATTAATTTCAATCGCCACTTTATTTATCTTGTAGGAAGTGTTTAGTAATTAGGTTTGTGCAGCAATGAACACATTAATGCGTATTTTTTTTAAAAAAGAGAACATTGGTGAACATGTAAAGGTGCGGTGGGTTGCCACGACTGGACTTTGCCACGGTGTAAACAAGTTGCAGCGCACGCATACGAAAAAAATCCGCCCGTTGACATGTACGGTTCACCTAATTATAAGCATAAAAATCTATTTTAATTCATGCACATCGCTGCATGCATCGTGCGGCGTTAGTTTCTTAGAATCATTCATCGGTTCTCATGGTGGTCGGCACATGCGCGTGCTATTTTCAAATTAGTCATAACGCCATCGTAGTAGCCTTGGGAAAACGTGCGTGGCCCAGTTTTCCTACACCCCTGGAGGCTATTAAGCTCAAGAAAAAAAAGATCTCTGCAATTAAGAGGCGCGTTATTTTTAACGTTGAACGACACAACAGCGTGCATTGGGCTGCTTTACCCCACTTACGAACGCAGAGACCGGTGATCACAAACGATAGGCTCCCAGCGGCAATGGCACCGCCTTGACCTGGAAAATATATAATCGGTGACGTTTCAGGCAATGACCCGGCTTCATAGCGTTGTAATACTGTCACAGTTATATGCTGCAGGATGTATATGCTATGAAGAAGGGCCATAGCAAAAAAACATCAGGGGTGCTGCGGTGGCGAGATGTTAACTCCTTTGCCTGGTATGCAGGAGGTCCTGGGTTCAATTCAGACCCCAACAACTGTATATTTGGAGTTTGCATGTTTTCCCCGTGGTCGCGTGGATTTCTCTCCAGGTCCTCCGTTTTTTCCCCTCCACATTTAGAAACATGTGGTTAGAGTATTTGGCTGCTTTACATTTCTACTCGATAAGCCACTTCGTTGAGCGATCATTTGTGGCCAGGTCGCTTCTGAAAAAAGAGCTATATAGTTCGGTGGGCCCTACCTGGTAAAATAAAAAATAGTTTAGTTGTAGTTTAGTTTAAACGTCACCTATTATATTTTTTCCCATTGAAGGCCGCAGTGTGTGTTGAAGTTTTGTCGCTGTTGGTTGTGCTTGTGCACCAACCAGCGAATGTGGGATCACCACATAATTTGTCTGGCAGTGGGACTTCCGTGCAGTATGAAGAGAGTTGATTGTGAAAGTGATGAATGTTAATGTCTTGGGGGGGGGTGGGCGGGTGACGTAGTGGTTCGTGCACTGAGCTGTGAACAATTCGCAGTGCGCCCCCACTTCTCCCGGTCTCTCTTCTGATCGGCGTGGCGAAACAAATCACTTAAATACAGAAACATCGACTGAGAGGTCTTCATTCAGAGTGGAATTGCAAAGGGCTGTAAAAGATAATAACTTTAATTAAGGGATATGTTCCGCGGAGGCGTGTGCGCTGTTTCTTTCACGTGCTTATTTTGTCTAAAAAACATATATGATCAAAACTGTTGTACATTGATCGTGGCTGAGAATATGAACACACGCGTCAGCATGTTGGAACACTCCAGCCTTTTACTTCACAAGTGAGATATCTTCAATACCGATCATATTTCCTGAAGAAGGAAATGCTGATGATATAGTATTTGCACAAAGGCTGTATAGAGCTTTTCACACATTTTTACATGTTATTTGAAACTCGTGCTTTTTCAGCGTGCACTATTATTATTCTGTTATGTTCTGGGTTTTTTCATCATTTGCTGATTTGATTGACACAAGGATATTACATTAGTAATTAACATTAACGTGGAATACTGCTCCAGTGTGTTCAGCTTATATCGCCTATGACCAATTTAACCCAAATGCACCCAACTGCATCATGTCTCGGACGCTAAGCAGGTTTGTTCCTGCTTAGTTAGAGCTAGCCAGAGCCTGATTAGCAGTACTTGAGTTTTATCTCTTTGATCACATGGGTTTTTTCCTTCAATGCGGAGAAGGCAAACTCTTACGAATGGAACTGGCCAAACATACCGATGCAGAATGTGCCTGAAGGAAAGTTTCACCAAGTTCCATTCCCCGTGCAGACTTTCCCAGGTTAATAATAGCATATTATTATTATTATAATAATAATATATGGACTGAGAAGTATTTGCATGCCTCTAGACCCAGAGTTTGTAGCCTACCGAACAAGAGTAATTTGAAAATAATGACACCAAAACGCCTTTATGCCTCACGAACAACAGGTGAGTTTCGTTTCGTTTTTTAAGGGTTTCATTTCTTTGAGAGCGAAACCTGTGTTCAAGCACCCAGGTGAGTTTCAGCTGGGTTGAGCTTGATCGTGTGTCTCACAGAGGCTGTTTTTCTTCCTTAATGTCCGCTTCCTTTCCACCGCCAAATAGGGCGCCCCTTTGTGTTTGCGCCGAATGTTAATTACCGGGGGCCCGCATGCTTTTTCTGCACCGCGGCTGTACCCTTAACAACTGCGCTTCCGTGCGGACGATTCTTCTGCCAAGAAAACGTGAATGAATTACTGTTATCGGTCAGTGGAGTGCGAGCGGAAGTTTCGTGCCCAAATGAAGTTTTCAACTTTTTTTTTGATGGAAAGCGTAACCCAAAACCGTGACCACATCTCGCACTGTATTTGATGCAGACTCCAGGAAAACCGGGTACAGATGACCCCTCGGCAGATGCCAACAATGACTCCTCGGAGGTAAGATGATGGCGTACACACCTGCAACTCACGTTTGTAGTCGCCGGTCGGAGAGAGTGGCAGGGAGTGTGGTGCGGCAGATGCATGAAGGGTTAGTTATGAGGCGGTCACTGGCTTTTCTTTCAGTCGTTGGATAAACACTCAACGTATTAATATCACAAGTGCCCTGTTTTATGCAAATAAGTTGTGTAACTGCTTTTTTTTTTCAAGCGGTCTCTCCTTTAACAGCCACTGCTTAAATTGTGTTCTTTGATTGATTTATATTTAGTTTTTACGATGTTCCCGATTAGAACTGTCTCTTACTTTCGGCCGTAAAACACGCAGCATCCTAAATTGTATTTTTCAGCAAAATACAGAAGGCTGCATAATTGATTTGTCCTTTTGGCAAGGAGGATATTTTTTTGCAAGGATGTATATCTTATGTTATCCGTCTTATCGATTTCCCAGCAACTTTTATATGAATGACCGATGGTTGTTGGGATAAAAAAAAGTGAATAGGCATCCTCGGTAACTGCCGCCTATAACTTAGCTCCACCTCGAGCTGTGATATCATCATGTGCCCTCTTGGGCAACAGAGGACTGGCATTGAATCTTCCCCCCAAGCCCCCTATGTTAATAACTGCACTGCTGATTCTGGTTTGGGGTGATTGCTATGCTCCGTTACTGACCGCGGAGGGAGGATACGTTGGAGGAATGACACATTGGAGGGAGAACACAATGGAGGGAGAACACAATGGAGGGAGAACACAATGGAGGGAGAACACAATGGAGGGAGAACACAATGGAGGGAGAACACAATGGAGGGAGAACACAATGGAGGGAGAACACAATGGAGGGAGAACACAATGGAGGGAGAACACAATGGAGGGAGAACACAATGGAGGGAGAACACAATGGAGGGTGAACACAGTGGAGGGAGAACACAATGGAGGGAGAACACAATGGATGGAGAACACAATGGAGAACACAATTGAGGAAAACACAATGGAGGGAGAATACAATAGAGGGAGAACACAATGGCCAAGTCCTCTTGCTCTCAGGGGGAGACCTGAAGACAATTTTCCTTTGCGGTGCAAGATTGGGTCATGTGGTTCTGCAATCATATATCCAATGTCTATAACATTTTACCACAATGAAGTTACCCAAAAATGTAAATAATTCTCCAATATACAGTGAGGGAAAAAATATTTGATCCCCTGCTGATTTTGTACATTGGCCCACTAACAAAGAAATGGTCAGTCTATAATTTTAATGGTAGGTTTATTTGAACAGTGAGAGACAGAATAACAACAAAAAAATCCTGAAAAACGCATGTCAAAAATGTTTGCACACATCTCAGGAGGGATTTTGTCCCACTCCTCTTTGTAGTTCTTCTCCAAGTCATTAAGGTTTCGAGGCTAACGTTTGGAAACTCGAACCTTCAGCTCCCTCCACAGATTTTCTATGGGATTAAGGTCTGGAGACTGGCTAGGCCACTCCAGGACCTTCATGTGCTTCTTCTTGAGCCACTCCTTTGTTGCCTTGGCCGTGTGTTTTGGGTCATTGTCATGCTGGAATACCCATCCACGACCCATTTTCAATGCCCTGGCTGAGGGAAGGAGGTTCTCACCCAAGATTTGACGGTACATGGCCCCGTCCATCGTCCGTTTGATGCGGTCAAGTTGTCCTGTCCCCTTAGCAGAAAAACACTCCCAAAGCATAATGTTTCCACCTTCATGTTTGACGGTGGGGATGGTGTTCTTGGGGTCATAGGCAGCATTCCTCCTCCTCCAAACACGGCGAGTTGAGTTGATGCCAAAGATCTCCATTTTGGTCTCATCTGACCACAACACTTTCACCCATTTGTCCTCTGAATCATTCAGATGTTAATTGGCAAACTTCAGACGGGCATGTATATGTGCTTTCTTGAGCAGGGGGACCTTGCGGGCGCTGCAGGATTTCAGTCCTTCACGGCGTAGTGTGTTACCAATTGTTTTCTTGGTGACTATGGTCCCAGCTGCCTTGAGATCATTGGCAAGATCCTCCCGTGTAGTTTTGGGCTGATTCCTCACCATTCTCATGATCATTGCAACTCCACGAGGTGAGATCTTGCATGGAGACCCAGGCCGAGGGAGATTGACAGTTCTTTTGTGTTCCTTCCATTTGCGAATAATCGCACCAACTGTTGTCACCTTCTCACCAAGCTGCTTGGCAATGGTCTTGTAGCCCATTCCAGCCTTGTGTAGGTCTACAATCTTGTCCCTGACATCCTTGGAGAGCTCTTTGGTCTTGGCCATGGTGGAGAGTTTGGAATCTGATTGATTGCTTCTGTGGACAGGTGTCTTTTATACGGGTAACAAGCTGAGATTAGGAGTGGTCCCTTTAAGAGTGTGCTCCTAATCTCAGCTCGTTACCTGTATAAAAGACACCTGGGAGCCAGAAATCTTTCTGATTGAGAGGGGGTCAAATACTTATTTCCCTCATTAAAATGCAAATCAATTTATAACATTTTTGACATGAGTTTTTCTGGATTTTTTATTGTTATTCTGTCTCTCACTGTTCAAATAAACCTACCATTAAAATTATAGACTGCTCATTTCTTTGTCAGTGGGCAAAAGTACAAAATCAGCAGGGGATCAAATACTTTTTTCCCTCACTGTATGGGGCTTGGGGAAGGAGCAGTGGTATAGTGGTGAACCTGGTGAGCCAAGTTTAAGTTCCAGCCATGGCTAATATCACTGGCGATTAGTATCTGAATCGGTCCTGCACCCATCTCATTTCACAGTATACTCTTCATTTCACCGCGCTTTATTGAACCAGGTATTATCCCACTGAGATCCATTATTAAACGAGACGCCCCTCTGGGCGTGCGCATCCGCCACGAAGGCACGCCGCTGCGGACGTCAACGTTTCTCGACAAAGACGACGCGACGGAGGGAGGGGATCATCACCCCGTAGTGGCCGGGTTTGTTTGACTCTCGGGAGTGAACGTGTCTCCCCAGGGGTTCATCTGCCCCGTGTGCATGCAGCCGTATGGCTCGGCAGTGGAACTGTTCTCGCACCACGAGTCTGCGCACAGCGTTCCGCCGCCGGTCAGGGCGCCCGATAGCGCCGCCCCGCCGCCCGGGCACGACACCGAAGTAGTTTTTTTTGTCGTCGTCTCTTTGCATCGCTGGCTTACCGTGGCGCAAGGGCGGCCTGCAGTCATGGCGCTAGTGGGAGCGCGAGATGGATTAGGCTGCGCTTTTGAATTAGCGAAATGAAGCTTCCCCCCCCCACCCCATAATTTCGGGCACGGCCAGTCTCAGGAGCGGACGAATTTGGTTGATTGAATTACATGTTTCTGCACACCACGTCTTGTTTAAACTTAAGAAAACCAAAACAAATGTTGGCCCGCTCCTGTTTTGGCCTCCCTGCAGAAGAGCGGAGTGCCCAATTCTCTAATTAAAGTGCAGTTTAATTGATCCCATGCTAATCTGGGTTTGCATGCTGTGTGCTCGTTATAGGGGGTTTTACTCTGTGTGTTCTCGCGACCTTTTAAAAGCAGACGTACCAACTGACCCACAATTTGTGGATCAGACTCACGTTTGAACATTGAACCTCAATTTTGTATTGCAAATAAAACATTTGAATTGATGGAAAATTGCAGTGCTAATTAATAAATCGATTAGAATGGTTTTCACATATATACAAAGTCATTACACACGATGCTAGTTCAATCATATCTCTCACTATTCATAAATTGACCCACAAATGAGGACGAAAAAGTTGGCATCTGTTTAAGACCACTGGGACTGCTCGTGTGTGGGTTTGTTTGTGTTGTTTGGCATTGATGAGGGAAGCGATTCTTTTCAAGGGAGTTTGCCGTGCTGGAAACCTGCTCTGATTTCACCAAATAACATGCATGGCGCTGTCTTGGGTTGCTTAAATGTTAATTGCGAAGGAAACCGATTGGTTTCTTCAATTAGCGGCATCCTGGAACAAACCATGGAAGCCCTTTTACAAATGCTCATTAAAAAAAGTGTGTGTTTACCGTGGCTGGGGAGGTGACCATTTGTTACAAGCAATCGGCTGACCAGAGCAAACGCGTCGCTTATTTGTCGCCCACGGTCCTGGTGGTTTCTGCATAACATCAGCGAGCAGCGAATGAGTGGCTCTCTTGCCCCCCGTGCGACGACGTGTTTGCTTGTTTGTCCACACGTGCGTAGGGTTTCATTTGCCCCGTTTGCATGAAGTCGCTTGGCTCGGCAGATGAGCTCAGCAGGCACTACCAGAGCTGCCACAACGAGGGGTCGTCAGCGGACGGAACGCCCGACTCGGTCAGCGTCCCCTCCCACAACAGGTACCGGTCGATTGTGCCCACCCGCCCGTCATGTGTCATGCCACATCCCCGGTTTTCCTTAGCATATGCGGAAGCGTTTTGTTGGGGGAAGGACGTGCGGTTCGCATGGTTTTATGAATGCCATTTACAGTACCCATGAATGAGGTTGAGTTAAACGTGTTTTTCCAGGTGAGAACTCAAAAGAGAGCAGGATAGTATAATTTGCAAGAGTTGATCTCGGTCACCGAAGTGAGAGAAGCAAATCAAATAAAAGTACGGCAATGAAGCGAACGGGAATCGGAGTGAAAACAACTGTGTCACATGAGAAATCGGAAATATTGCACGATATTAAATCGATGTAATAGGAAACAAAAATCCCTGAAGCGTACATTGTCTCAGGCAGATTGTGTTTAGACAATTGAGTTAAATAAACCTTAAACAGATATAGGGTGACTGGTAATTTTATGTAAACAAACAATGATATAGTAAAACCTTTTTCATTCGCGTATTTTTCTTACACGAAATTCGATTATACACGATATTATCATTGCATACCGGTTTCAGTTTTCATGCCTTTTTCACTCTACTATTTGCGATTTTCCACCACTGCATCCTGGGGGGAGGGGTACTGTACTTGTGCAGTACAGCGGTGGATTGTGGACCATTTGCCACCATCCACAATGCTTTTACTCTTCAAGTGCCATTGCCTCCTGGGGCCTAAGAGTAAAGTGAGCGGTGGAAATGCGAGCCACATAAAAAAGGCAGAAATGAGTGATGAGTTGAGCTCAAAAAGTAGTCGGTGCATGACCATCGAAAGGTGTCATCACTTTGACCTCTCCAACGACACCACCATCATCATCACACCCCCATCATCATCCGAGGTAAATTACAACTTCCAAATTTACAGCCTAATTTATTGATGTGTTTTATCTTATGCTCTTTATTCTATTTTGTTGTGTTATTTGTATTGTTGTACAATGTAATGAAGCATGTGGATGTTATTTGTGTGTACCGTACGTGATTAATGTTATGGAACATTTATATGTTCCATAACAGTCGGATACGGGAATCTAACCCCCTTTATTGCCATATAAACATAGTCTCTACAATCGCGAATTCTACTTTCACGCAGACTTTCAAGAACAGAACCCTTGTGAATGGCGAGAACTTGTCGTGTATCTCAAATGCAATTGCAAATTAAGTTATTTAAAAAATCGATAGTTTGGCATCAAGTTCGTCTTGGTATGATTTTGGCTCAATCACAGTTTTAAGGACATCCCATGAATTTCCACAAAACAAACACTTTAAAAAGGTACTGATAATAAGGCCGATGTGCATTTCCAGGGAAGGGGAGGTGACCATACTGAGGCAGGAGCTCAATGAAGTTCAGACGTCGCTGAAGGTGAGGCATTAGTTGTATATGGCGTGATTCCTGAAGTCGTGTTTAGTAAAGACTTGCATTCTTGGAACCCCAAAACACACCCAGAGATGTGTGGTAAATGTTACAGCTACTTATGTTGTATACTAGTTTGTTTCTTCAAAACGTAACTGTTGGTGAAGTAAAATATTATGTAATTTGCTGTGACTCGGTAGCGCATTCTACATGAGAGAACTTAAACTGCAAGGTGTGCTGGGTGTAATGGAGGTCAGAGCACTGTGCTGGCACCACTGAAATCCTTGATTTGAATCCTGGTTTCAGCCTCCCGCGATCAAATCGAGTTCTTAAGTGTGGTGCGTTATCTCAGCGCAGTTCACCAACGACCTTACTAAAAACGACGTCACGTTAAATTTAGTTAATATGGATACATTTGATCTCTGAAAATGCTAAATATTGGTTTTACTGCCATATGATGATCATTTTCCGATCTAGCAGACATCTGATAGCATTTACCCACGAATGTATGAATACACAAGGGCACTTGAAGGGGTCTCGGAAGAAGTTCTGTGGTATTTATTTTTTAAGAGCCAATAATTATAGGCATAGGTTTGCGTTGACACTGCAAGGAATCCGATTGACACTCTTATAACATTTCACTGATCGTAAAATTGTTTTAAAAAAATCCATTTTATGTTTTGCTAAATTTAATATTTTTGTTTTATTGAAGATTAAAGCCTCAAACAATTGGGTTGCACCAAATCAGTTCCTACTTTTTTAAATGTATAAAGGCGCTCGCGTTTGTCTCACAGAGGTGGTGTCAAATCTGTGTGACTATACCAGTTAACATTTAAGTAATCGATATAATTGTCTCCTTAGCCACTGAATGTGCGGTCTCAGCCTGCCTGACTTACTTAAGAGCTGTCGTGTTTGTAGGAGGAGAGATGGTACTCAGAAGAGCTCAAGAAAGAATTGGAAAAGTTACAGGGGCAGTCCAAGCAGGTTCGTTTAACTCCGGTTGAAAGCCATTCTCTGTCAATCGAATAATGGCATGCTTTGTGTATGATTGCTCCATGGCATGGATTTCCGTTCAGGCGCAGGTGTTTTTTCTCTGTACAAGACAGATTAAAAGTTACGTATAAATGTCAAGAATGCAATGATTTACCATGCTCACAGTTTGGTGGACTTTCAGGTTTGACAATCAAAATTCCGTTAAAGAAAACAACTCAGCGCGTTCGTCAATAACACTTGAGTTATTTTGTTAATTGTGCGTGTGCACCACTGCCAACCGGGCATGTCCAAATAATTTGTTCAGTTTGATTAAAGGGTCAGTTCTTCTTCATGTGTACATTCATTTGTACTGTATGATGTGCATTGCATGATGTCTTCTTCTGTATTACTCTCCATGAGCTTAAATTAACACTTGCATTACATTTCCAAAAAAAGTGGAAATAACTTTTCTATGTATGATTTGACACATACATTAAAAGTAAAAAAATAAATTTTAATTAAATTTGTGAGTCATTAGACGCATAGTAAAATGTGAATGTGTGTAATTAACACATTCATTGATTCACGTGAACAACCCCCCATTAGTTCGAATTAACAACACATCGCTGAGAATCATTGCGCGTTCGAGCCTAGTTTGACTGTTTGTATCTTTGCAGGAAGGCGACAAAGACGGTGAAAAGGTTGATACGACAGGTACATGTTTACGAAGGGTCTGCTCTCTCTTCAGATAAGCACATTTCCCAAGCCACGATACAAACCCCTTTTTACATTTAAAGACGCAAAACCGCACTTTTTGCGAACCGCGTGGGCATGCAGAGTCGTTGAGTGTGCACGTTTGCCCGATTCGTCGTTGCAGTGGTGCAGGCCCTGCAAGCCCAACTGGACGATGCCCTGACGGCGAACCAGGAGATTCAGCGCATGAAGGACCTTCTGGAGCAGAAGGCGGCCTCCTTGGCCTCTGAAATGGCTGGTGAGAATCATCATCATCATCAACATCATCGTCGTCGTCATCATTTATTGTAATTTATGTTGCACCTCACCTGTATTATGTATAAAAGGGGGAAGGCCCCTGGACAATACAGTGTAATTGTGGACATTGTCAAAGCAGCGGGACCAACATTGGTGGACTTGTTCATGAAATGTTTAAAATAATAATTAAAATACCATAATAAGGGAATTATGCCTCAGGCATTCTTCTCAAAAAGGGAGGAAAAAGACTGCAGCCCCAGACAAGGCTGGCACGGCCCGGTTTTATTCATTCGGGTTTTAATCGGTTTTTATATAAAACCGGAGCACCTGGATCCTGCCCAAATCCGGTTTTATTCGGTGTTATTAAAATTAAGTCGGGATTTCAGTCGCACGCGCCCGTTAGCGGCGTTCGGGCCGGGGCCCGGGCTCAGCCGCCATGCGCGTGAGCCACGCGCATGGCGGCAAGGCCACGTCGACCGCCGCTGCTGCGTCTGAGTGAAACTTCTCGACGCTGGGATTTATCCATTCCAAGTTGAGGAACAGCCTGGCGCCCAACACAGTCGAGAAGCTCGTCTTCATTAAGTCGAACCTCAACGCGTTCTACGACTACCCGACGCCCGACGCGAGAGCGACGACGAAGACGCGGCGGCGGCGGACGACGATGAGGAGCAGGATTGAAGTGTGCACGAGACGCCGATAATAAAAGCAGGTTTTAATCGGCAAAATCGGGTTTAATTCCATTAAAACCAATAACCCGATTTGTCGGGCAAAAAAATCGGGTTTTTTTCCCCACCCTTGGCCCCAGAAGCCTCCTCCTTTAGACACCACGGAGTTGGAGTAAAGAGATCACTTAATTTGCAGGTTGCTGAATGGATTGTTGCATCGATAGGATGGTGAAAAATGGTGGCGACTTGGGGAGGCCTTCATCCAGCAGTGGATTGATCATGGCTGCCCCTGATCATGATAGGACCTCGCACTTCGGGGCCAATATAGTTCTCACTCGTGTTATTAGTAATAAGTTTATTACCAGTCTTGGTAATAAAAATACATTCTATGAATCGTGAATCATCTGTATGAAGAACTGTTTGGGGCTCACTCGACGGGAGGGTCTGCTTTATGCACTCGGGCATGAAATCATTGCCTCTGTCAAAATCACTTGGATCACGCCTGGTATCGTTAGATCTCTAGAGCTAAGCAGGGTTGAGCCTGGATTGTGCTTGGATGCAGTGCCGGATTATCGTTGTAGCAAAAGTAGCTACACACGCTATGGGCCCCGCACTTTCAAGGGCCCCCGGCTAATGCTTTCAAGCTATCAATTCCGGTTCAGTGATTCTGCACTTGCTCTATTACTATAGTACTATACCGCCTTCAACTTTATGTTTAAGGTTAGCGATTTGTCGTATTATCTGGCTGTATAGCAAATGAAAAAATACAATTACTTTACTATGCAAGTTAAAAATTTGTGTTTTAATATTTATGTTTTTTTTTTAATTTAGGGCCCCTTTATAACATGTGCTACAGGCCCTGCACATTAGTAATTAAGAAAAATGTAATATGCACACATATCCATAGACGCTTGAGACATGTAACTCCATTGCCAAGGTAATGCGAATACAAATTAACAGTTGAACCTTTGAGAGTGCACGTGTAATAATTTTAAATATTGACAGAAATGCTTAGTTGAGTTCCAAGGTTGATCTTTTACAGAAGATCCTGTCCAGGATTATTTATCAAATTCTTCTTTGTTTTTCTCTGAGCACATTTCCATTCGGGAGGAAACTTCGAGTGTCCGGGGAAAAAAATCCTAACTCCTGCAAACGAGAGGGGTAGACAACCGTCAAAACCCCTTTAAACACTCCGCTTTGCAGACTGACAGCCCATTTACAAACCTGCTTGCTCCGCTGCCCAGGCGTGGATGATGTGGAGGTGCTAATCACATGGTGATTGACCACCATGTAGAACTCTGGTTGTAGGCTGCTGTGGAGCTGCATTGTTAGCGGAGGGTAGTGCAGAGAGATCCATTGTTGAGCTGTACTTTTCGCAAACGTTTTGTGCTGCACAACTTTTGCCAATCTGCACTGATCCAGCAACATGAGGGAGACCCTCATCCAGCACTGACTTTACAAAAGGGCTTCACACGTACGTGACATCATGTTTGAAATGATGTATTATATCCAGAGTGTGATCATATATTGTTAATATAATTATTTCTCAGGGACATTTGAATAATTCCCATTTTAGAGCTCACAGAGTTACACATTCTTGCCTATGTAATTATCAGTGCTCTGAAGATTAAATTACAACAAAGAACGTTGAAAACGTACATTTCAATTTCTGCTTGCTAAAATCCCATGTGTTTTGGTTAGCGCTCTGGTGTGCAGCATCACGCTTTGTGCCAGCATCTCGGGGGTCATTGAGAGCGGGCGAACCCATGATTTCACACTGGCAACGAACTCGTTTTTCTGCCCTGCCACTGGCTCGCGACTGGCGTACGATGGCATGCAGCTGCTGTTCCCGTCCTGCCGCCCCGCAGGCGTGAAGTCGTGCGTGGATGAGGAGAAGGGCCTGAAGGAGGCCGCTGAGGAGAAGATCAGGGAGCTGAGCGATGCCCTCACGAAGGAAAAGGCCATTGTCGAAGACTTAAAAACAGAGCTGGTATGATCGTGGCTCAGAGGGGCGAGTTGCGTTAAGAAGGGGAACCTCGCTGGCGCGTGCTGCGCTACGTGTTGGGAACGCTAACTACCGCCTAATGTGCATGTGCTCGGAATTGTCTTGCTAATTATCCAGTCCATCTGGCTGAATGACATTGCACAGCCTGATGTAATGAGCTGTCGTGTTATGTCCACCATTATTTATACGTACAGAGTATAAATGTGATTTTTTTTTTCAACAGCAGTGTGTTTAAGTTTGTTTTTATGCGTTATTACCTAATGAATATTGCTTAGTAATTAAGAAAAATGTTATATGCACACATATCCTTAGACGCATGAGACATGTAATTCCATTGCCAAGGTAATGCGAATACAAATTAACAGTTGAACATGTGAGAGTGCACGTGTAATAATTTAAAATATTGACAGAAATGCTTCATTGAGTTCCAAGATTTAGCTTTTACAGAAGATCCTGTCCAGGATTATTTATCAAATTCTTCTTTGTTTTTCTCTGAGCACATTTCCATTCGGGAGGAAACTTCGAGTGTCCGGGGAAAAAAATCCTAACTCCTGCAAACGAGAGGGGTAGACAACCGTCAAAACCCCTTTAAACACTCCGCTTTGCAGACTGACAGCCCATTTACAAACCTGCTTGCTCTGCTGCCCAGATGCAACGCCCAGGCGTGGATGATGTGGAGGTGCTAAAGAAGGAACTGGTGCAGGTGCAGACGCTCATGGACCAGCTGACGCGTGAGCGCGAGGAGGCATCCGAGCGGCTCAATGAGCAGCACCGACAGCTCCAGCAGAAGCACAGCCATGCCCAGGTGAGGGGCATGGTCGGGTATAGGCAAGGTACATGCCTAGGTACAGGTGATGGTCATGCCTGGATACAGGTGATGGGCATGCCTGGATACAGGTGATAGGCATGCCTGGTCACAGGTGATGGCACAGGCATGAGGAACAGTCAGCTCAAGGTGAAGGGTGCAGCTGCTTCCCACTCACTGCTACGGAGCTTTGCACGGCTGCACTTCATTATCTTTTTTTTGAAACAACGCCAATACAATTAAATGTGGATTTATAAAGTGTGTAAGAGGTGAATGGCATGTTGCATTGTGAGACCATGAGAAATGGTAACAGCTTGGCGTAGACTTTCATCCAGCGGTGGATAGATGATGATGATGAAAGTGCATACTGTCCAACCCTACGAATACAAATGGAAGGCTGCCGGTTTTTTAATCCTTGCGCCGCATCCTAATGTTCAAAGCTAATTGTATCGCTTAAAACATTATCTGAGGAAAAAAAAACGTTGCCTTGACAATCGGTATGCGGTGAAAAGCCAAAAAAATCCGAAGCCTGACACTTCAATGGGCAGGGTTTGGCATCTGTGAAAGTGTCTCAATGTGACCGTGCAGTGAGACGCTTCGCGGCATCACGTGCGGATCGTGATCAATTTCGGCAATTTGTTTAATGTTTGGGGGGGGGGGGGAGGAGATGTTCGCAAGAGAAAGAAAATATCACCGGCCGTTGTAATATCTCAAGAAGATACTTTGCTTGGCTTGTCATGAAAGCTAAAAGGCCTAAATATTTTGTGAATGGGAAGTTAGTTCGAGTTAATGTTTTGTGGGAAATTGACCACGCTCTATGTTGTCAGTTTGGCCATGCCGTGGTAACATGGTAACGTGGTAACATGGTAACGTGGCAAAATGGTAACATGGTAGCATGTTAACGTGGCAACATGGTAACGTGGTAACATGAGAGGAAACAATCCTTCCGCCAAGGCACTAAAATGAGCCCGTAGGCGCGCGCGGCGGCCAGTGTGCTTTTTAACCAGAGTTGACGTGGCATTCGTGATTACTGACATCATTATTCATGTATTAACCCCATCAATTGCTGCAGCTATGCTACTAACGTTACCTTTATGTCATGATTGTTTTAACATTCTTGTGCAGACGGGGCGGCCGGAAGTAATGCTTTTTTTTCCCCCATTGAGAAGCCCATTGCATGTGTTTCATAACACACAAGTTGCACATTACCATAAGTATAAGGAATGTAATGATCATCCTCTTGGTTATTCTTGATTACTTTCCACAAATCTGGATTACGATTTGATTCAAGGATCGATAGTTTTCTAACTTCGTGGTGAGTAGCGCCTCTCGTGGCAGCAGTGGGTCACCCAAAACGGTTGCGTACAACACGCAGATACAGAAAATAGTCCATCCTTGCGCGCGTGGTTTTAATCCATGTATTATGACCTTAATAATCTATTTATTGATCTACCTAATGTATGCAACTTTTTTCGCACCGTACGTAGCCAACCGCGCTAATTGGAGTTGCGGGGGAAGGACAACAAGCTAAACACAGAAAACAGTTCGAAAGAATTTAGTTTTCAAACGAATAAGTACGAGCATCAATCCCTGTACACGCTAATCAAGCTTCTGTTAAAACTCTACGACCAGCCTTTCTTGGCTTGGCTTAACACGCGCGTGCATCTTCATGTTCAGTGTGTGCCGTGCCATCGCTCTCCACTCATCCCCATTGTTGTCGTCTTTTCTCACTCACGCTGCTCCGAGGATGAGTGTGCTCTGGAGGTACTCATCGCAGCTTCCGTTCAGCGGCTAGTTCCAGGGCCTTGTGCTCCCAACATTAATTGGCAGCTGCCCTGACAAATGCTGCCCCCGAATGAGCGATGTTAGTTCGACTGTCGCCTTCACAGTGAGTTGTTGCAGCCAATTGTTTTGTTTTAAATGACGGGCCCGCGTTGGAAGTTTTATCCAAAGTTGGTGCATATCAGCGCGGCATCATTAGTTTTGTCGCTGTTGTGCTGGCCAACGTTGAAGAGTAGCTTATTAATGAGATCTAAGAGAACGCAATTATATAATCATGTCGATTACTAATTTGTTAAATTCTTCATTAAGTGTTTCTCAGGGCAATAACAAAATGTGATTTACATTTGCAATAACTTCAAAATTGTGTAATTACTATTTCCATTACCCGAGCGTCGACTATTTTATTATCCTCGGGATTCCACCGTCGTAGCGGCACTGTTTCCTTGCCCCGTGAGTGCCGCTGCGTGTGAAACTTAAACGCAGACGACTCTTTCTGCCGTGCCGGTGCTGCCGTGAAAGGACACCATAAAGAAGCTGAAGGAGGAGCTCAAAAAGGCCCCCAAGGAGGTGGCAGCCCTCTCGGAGAAGCTCAAGCAGCTGGGCTCCACCAGCGAGGAGACAAAGAGGCAGCACCAGGTCGGGGCCACTGATCGCTCCGCGCACGGGAACATTCACGCAGGGGATCTTGTCACTCCACCAAGCAAGCGCCTTATGGCAACGGCTCTAGAACTGGCAGACCCTGGGACAGAAGCGGCCCACGAAGGCTCCTGGAGTGGCTCTCCGAGCCGTGGCCCTCCAGGCGATAGTGGCTCCCCGAAACCTAAAGCGATGCGGATCAGTGAGATGTCACGTGGCCTGCCAGCATGCGCTAAAAATACGCGTTTAGAGTATTCGGCTGCTGTACATAACCACGTGATAAGCCACTTCGTTGGGCTATCATTTGTGGCCAGGCCGTTTCTGAAAAAGAGCTCGAAAGCTCAGTGGGCCTTACCTGGTAAAAATAAAATAGACTATAGTTTTATTGATTTATGTTGTCGCCCGCCAGAAAATAATTTTAATAACCCTGCCTTAGAGCATCTTTATAGCTTGATTTCAATGGCCACATGTAACCAGCAAATTGCTTTTGCTGCTGAGAACAAAGTGAAGTGGGAAGTGACTTTGTGTTGCAATACACGATGAGGTGTGCTACGACCATATCACCCTGAATGTGCCCGATCCCATCAGATGTCGCAAGCTTTGCATGGTCGAACCTGCTAAGCACTCGGAAGGGAGATTACCCGGGAATACCCGTTCTCGGGGCTTTTTCTCGCATCGATGATGTGACGCTTGGGTGGCACATGCTCGCGGGATGGAGAAGGACCGGTTGTCGAGACAGCCATTGGGATAGTCTCCACGAGTACGGCGACCGAGGGGAAGACTTGAGACCAGATGGTGGGATTATAGGGCACACCTTGCAAGGCCGCGTGTCGGCTGTGTTGCAGCTGCAGGATCTGGCAGGGATGGATACGCATCGACGGCTTTTGGCCACGATGACACCTTTGGTGTGGATCTTATTCTCCGCCGGCGCGTTACGCGAGGTTCGCCTTGTCCCCAGGCGCTGGAGCTGGAGCTGGTCGGGAAGCGTGCCGAGTGCGAGCGGCTGTCGGAGCAGCTGCAGGCGGCGAGCCACGGCCAGGCCGGCCTGAGCGGGACCCTGGAGGAGCGGCGAACTCAGCTCGAGAAGCTCCACTCGGAGCTCAACGCTCTGCAGGTGGGAGCCTTGGTGTCATTGGCTCTGCAAGCGAGAGAGCCTCGTTGGGGGGGGTGGGGGTCAGAAGGGGGGTGGGTCTGATCGTCATGGGCAGTGCAGCTGAAAAGTATCCCTCGCATCGTGCGAACTTCCTGAATGTTGCTCCATTGAAAGGTTAGGAAGTTAGTGAAGCTGTATCTGTATGCAGAGGGGAGCTGTGGACCTAAGAACGTGTGTACTGCACTGGCCCGCAGCAGCTTCTGTTGCCAGCTGGTGGCAGTGCAGCTCCTCTCCATTGGCAAGCGTTTAAAACCCACACGTGGTGATGACAGCAGCAGTGGTGCCGCTGTGGCGGGATGTTAACTACCTTGCCTGGTATACAGGAGGTCATGGGTTCGATTGTGACCCTGACACCTGTTTATTTGGAGTTTGCATGTTCTCCCCGTAGTCGTGTGGATTTTTTTTCCGGGGCCTCCGGTTTTTCCTTAATTTAGAAACATGCTTTTAGAGTATTTGGTCGCAATACATTTCCACGTGATAAGCCACTTCGTTGTCAGCTCGCTTTGAAAAAGAGCTATATTGCACAGTCGGGCCTTACCTGGTAAAATAAAAATGAGTTTACAGTTTAGTTTCAGTCCCGTCGTCCCACAGGCATCACACGGGGAGCTGAAGGCGTCGGTGGCGACGCTGCGGGAGGCCAACGCCGGGCTGCAAGGGGCGCGCGGCACGCTGGAGGCCACGCTGGCGGAGCGCGACGCCGAGCTCGGGCGCCTGCGTGCCGAGCTGGCCGAGGCCGAGGCTCAGGGCCAGCGTCTGGGCCTGGAGCTGAAGCAGACGCGGCAGAGCAAGGAGGAGAAGGAGCAGCAGAACGCCCAGCAGCAGGCAGAGATGAGCCAGGTAAGAGCTGGCAGATGTGCATCATCATCATTAGCATCGCCATCAGCATCATTTTCTAAATTGAAAACGCAGTTTTTTTTAACTGCTTTTTGTGTGCAGTTGGTTGTCCTTCCCCCGTAACGGTGCTAAAGAATCAACATAAATAAATAACATCAGCATCGTCGTCCTAATGTCCGACGTTTCGCTGCACGTGCTCGGAGCTTCAGTAACTAACGGCGGTCCGCGAAGTCGATGCTCTTACAGCTCGCCGATGTGTTTTCGGGTTGCTTTCACGTGTCGTTTGGCACGCCTGGTAGTTTTTCTCCACGTGCTGCGAGGGGGATTACAACTCAGAAAACACACACCGGAGAGCCGTACCGGTGGCGACCTTGTAGACCGCCGCCTCGCGAATCGCATTCACACGGCCGCATAATCGCGGGGTTGTGTGCAGCTGCATGCACGGCTGCTGGAGACGGAGCGGCAGCTGGGCGAGGTGCAGGGCGTGCTCAAGGAGCAGCGGCAGGCCTCGGGCGAGCGCGTGATGGAACGGGAGCAGCAGCTCTCCGACCTCACACTGCAACTGTCGCTCATGGAGGAACAGGTTTGTTACGCCCGGGTATCCCCTTCATCGCTCTATGTTGGATAAATGATCGTTTTTTTGCCTTTTTTTACCCCCACCCCACACCTATTTGTGCTCTAATCCCTGAGAGCTACGTGGTCACCTCTGAACCACATACTTTTAAAAGTTACCCAACCAATGCCAACTCTACCACCACCCCCCCTTCTACCCCCCCTTCTTGTATTATGCTGCCAGTGTACCCTGTACTCTGCTTCTATGAATATACCTTTTCCCCTACTGAGATGGACATATGTCCCGCTGTTCCCAGCTTGGTAGAATGCATTTGAATGAAAAAAAACAGCGGTGGGTGATGCTGCCCACAATTGTAACATATGGCGGCGGGGTGCCTTTTTAGACGAGGGTTTGTGTGGCGATAGGTGGCGCGCTGGAAGTTGACATCGTTATTATTGTTGTGCGTGTGTGCGTGTGTGTGGGGAGCGGTCGTCTAGCGGTTAGCGCTACGCTGCGCTACGAACCAGATGACCCGAGTTTGATTCCCGCTCACGGCCAACACCAGTGACGATTATCTGCACCGGTCCTGGGCCTCTCCTAGGTCAACTCAACCTCAAATGAGTACCTGGTGCGGTGTGTAAAAACATCGCCATTGGGGAGACGAAAGGCGGCCGGGCGTGGTGCTGGCCACCCACCCCCTCGTATGTCGTGCCGGCCTTCATAGTTGCTCGCTAACAGCACTTGCCCCAACAGTCTAATAAGGCTGTACGGGTGATCTTTGTCTTCGTGCGCGTGTACGTGTGTGTGTGTGCACGTGTGCAGCTACAGCAGAGCATGGCGTCCGTGGCCGAGGTGCAGAGCCAGCTGGATAAATCGCACAAACAGAGCCAGGAACTACAGGCCGCGCACCAGACCAGCACGGCGAAGCTGCGAGAGGCCCAGGTGACATAAAATAATTAATAAACACACGAGCGTCCGTTCCGAACATAACAGCAATTTCTATGTATATACAGCACGTGCATGCAAGGTTCATGTGGAAGATACTTTACGTGAGTGTGGCCTTCAGTGCGGCCCCTGACGTGCGGCCCCTGACGATACACAAATTTGAAAGGCACCCCCCCATCGCGCTGCCAAAAACCCAATGGTTTCACATGTGTGGCGGACCTCGCGCTGATGATGTCTTAATGGCGAAAGTGTCCCACCCCCTCTGACAATTGGTGAAGAACACTGCTCTACACAAATGTAAAAACTACATCCGGGTAGAATAGTGGGGTAGTGGTGGGCGGCAAGGTCGGGAGAGAGGAGGAGAGAAGAGAGCAACATCGCGGAATAGCAACCGGCGCCCAGCGCCAACAACAACAACGACTACGAGCGAGCGCCGGTGATAGCTGTGGCTGCCAGGGCAGCACCAACAAGTCCCAGGGGATCCACCCAGGGGGCGCTGGGACACCATTCACTCACAAGTTGAATGCAGCTCGGCAGTGTTTGATTGACAAGCCTCTTTCAGCTGATGACAATCCGAAAGCTCTAAACCATTCCAGGATTAGCTTAAATCAACGCTGTTGGATAACAATGGTGTTCAAGGCCTTGAGGGTGATTTCACAAAAAAAAGTATTTTTGACGAAAATATGTTTATTATTATCCATAAAGCTCCGCAGTGGTGCATGTTAACTTTTGTTATTTTATTACTCAAGATCGACCATGACCATGCATAATACATTTCGTGGCTTCCTCCAGCTTGTACGAGGTTATACAACCTAAAGAATTAAAACCGGCATATGCCGAGAAATGCCATAGCGGAGTGTAAGCACGCCGTCAGCTCCTACCCCCCCCCCCCGCCCCTACTTGCATGGCAGAGCGACCTGGAGCAGGTGCTCCGGCAGATTGGGGACAAGGACCAGAAGATTCAGAACCTGGAGGCGCTGCTGCAGAAGTCCCGTGACACCGTGGGACACCTGGAGGCCGAGCGGGACGAACTCTTCGGGAAGATCCAGGCGGGCGAGGGTGCCGGCGAGGCCATCAGCCAACTGCAGGAGAAGAACAGCGGTCTGCAGGAGCAGGTGACGGTTCCCCGGGGGAATGGCGGAAGGATGGTTGGGGGTTAGAGTTAGCGGTTAGGTAGAAGGGTGCATATGGATGCTGTTACTAAGGCGGCCTGGTCGTTGGAAGCTTCCACAGTTTTAGAGTCAGTTGCCGAAGAAGCTCCCCAGCGCGTGGAGCGAAACGTCGGACTTCCTAGCCGAACAACGCGCGGTACGACCCGACACCACATCGGAGAGCTGTACAGCACAACCGCGACAACTTCAGCAGTTTTATTGCTCGACTATTGCTTCATAAATCATGACTTAAAGCTTTCGTGACTGCTGGAATTCAAATTCTTTGGATCTTTCGGTAAAGCCACGTAAAAAATAATAATAATAAACAAAACAAATTCTTAATTATTATTTTTCTATCTACATGGCTTTACCGAAAGACCCAAAGAATATTGCATCATATTAAATAAAATTGTCCAAAAATAATCTTCATTAAGAACTTGACTGACGTTGAAGAGTATTTACAGTGCAGTTGTTCCTATTTTAGCATTAGTCATTGCCGTGCTTTATAAAAGATTCTGTGAGGCTTCATCTCTTTGTATGATACTAACCGACAAGCCACAGAGTCATCTTGTCCGATTGTGGGCCCCACTCGCCCAAACCCTCGTGACACTTTGTTGTTGTTGTCGCTGATCCTCGCTGATCCTCGCCGCGCGTGGTGGTTTACCGCCTGCAGCTGTCGCAGCTGACCGAGCGGCTGGCTCACCAGACGGAGAGCCACCGGCAGGCGCAGGAGGACCTGCACAAGAAGGTGCAGGAGCTCAAGACGCAGCTGAGCGCTGCGCAGGATCGCTGCGCAACGCTGGAGGCGGCGACGTCCGAGCTGAATTCGCAGCTCGCGGACGTGCGGGAGAAAGCCACGCAGCTCGACTCTCAGGCACGCGGTGGCACATCCCTGTCCCTTCCCTGCCTTGTGGGCTTGAACCACACCTGATTCCACTGCTTCTTTTACACCAAGGGTTGGGAACCGATGTCCCACGAGGCCGATAAGGCCCCTGCGGTTTCATTTCATACGGCCCATGGGCGCGCGAGGTCAAACAATTAATTCAAAAGGGCTCGCGCGTCACTTACATTCATCATTGCCAGCATATTAGCAGCACGAATAAGGTACTGCAGGGGAATATTTTTGACCTGGCCACACTGTGTATTTTAGTGCACTCGGTCACTTCCATTGGGGGATAACACTCAAAGCTCCACACAGATGGGACAGGAACCCACTTGCTGTGCTGTCATTCCCGCACACACCGCAGCCCAGCAGGTTTGAGATCTTCACAAATATATGCGATCCAGCAAACCTTACTCTCAAAGCCCTGGATTATTGGTGCGTAAAACGTCGATCAAAACCCAAGGTTATGACACGCTGCTCACGGGAACCGCGGACTGGACTTTCAATGGGTGGCTTCGGGAACCCCTCTCTGCTGCTCAACGGTGCGAGCGCTGCGCACATGCCCGTGTGACCACCTTGGCTCTCGCCCCCTTCAGGTGAAAGCCAAGTCGGAGCTGCTTCTGGCAGCCGAAGCGGCTAAAGGGGCCCTGAGGGCAGATCTGCAGAACCACACGGAGCAGTCGCAGAATGCCCTGCAGGACAAGCAGCAGGTGAGAGTTGAATGTTAACCTCCTCAGACTAAATGGGAATCTGTGTGTGTGCGCGCACATAGTGGTTAGAACATTGTGCTATGAACCCGGTGGCACGAGTTCGATTCCCGGCCTGAAATGAGTAACACGGCGCTTCGCGTAAACATCAGCGCTGAGGAGACTAAGGTTGCTGGGAATTGGGCTGGTCACACCATGCTCTCCTCACGTGCCATGATGGTCTTAATAGGTGCCCGCTAATGGCATTTTCCCCAAATGTCTGAGACCTGGGTTCTGTTCCCAGCCACGCACATTAGCTGAGTTCTGCTTAAATCTGCTAAATCATTACGTTAGAGAACCTGCTTTATACACCGGTGTCTCAAACACAGATTGGAACCCAGGAAACTCATCGGTGCCGGCTCAGCATCCTGACCCCTGAGCCACCCCCCCAGCCAGCTGTAGGAAACAGGGCAACTTATGTGTTCTACGTGTCCGAGGTATATTCCGTTTCTTTCCTTCACGCTAACCGCCCCCCCCCCCGCCACCTCCTCCCTCCTCGTGTGCTGGGCAGGAGCTGAAGCAGTCGCTGTCGCAGATGGAGCAGCTCCGTGCAGAGCTGGCTGCGCGGGCCGAGAGCTGCTCGCAGCTGGAGGGCAGCCTCAAGGAGCAGCGGGAGAAGCTGCTGGTGGCCGAGCAGCAGACGGAGGAGCAGCAGGCGAGAGCCAAGGTCTCGTTCGTTCCCCTGCCTCACCGCGTCGTCCCAACTCTCTTTCGTTCATGTACAGTCTCTTCTCCTGTAACGCGTGTTTAAAATTCCGCGAATTGGATATAACGAGATTAATGTATGAGGGAACACCTCTTTTTTTATAACGCGGCTGCGAATTGGATATATCACGCGATCGAGTGAACGGAACTGCGTCGCGTGAGTAGGAATAGGCGGTTGTGCGGGTGCCTCGGCATAGCATCGCACGAGGCGGGATGCAGCTGGATGCTGCTGGATGCTGCCCACATGCCTCGGTCTTTGTTCAGCCCACGTACGCATCTCACGTGATATCGCGGCCTGTGCCTTGCCCTACGCTATACATTATAACGCGACTTTTCCATAACGCGGTGTTCTTCAGAAACGCAATTACCGCGCTATAGGAGTACAGAGACTGTCTGTACTTTATTTCAAGCCAGGTGAGAGCCCAGTGCCTCTGACCAAATCGTGCAGAATGCTTTCGATCTCATCAGATCTGAGAAGCTAAGTAGACTTGAGCCTACTTTTAGCGCTTGGATGGACGACCGCCCCGCACAGCAGGTCTCGTTGGCTGCGGGACTAAGTTGTGGGCAGCAGAGGGCAACGCAGGAAAACCCATTGTTGTATTGTGCTTCTATGCTCCTACGTCTATGTTTCCTACCTTCATCGGCCAGCACCGACCAACGTGGCGATTACGTTCAATTAACCTACCCCGCCCACGACCAACGTGCCGTGAGGAGACGCTCATCCAGCAGTGAACGGGGCCTGTACATGTGCCATGCAGAAGCTGGAGGGGGAACTGACGCAGGAGAAGCGCATGATGGAGAAGGCCCGGCAGGAGCTGAGCGAATCTAACAAGCAGCGGCAAGAGTTGGACGCTCGAATTCAGGAACTGGGACAGCAGCTGGAGTTTGAGAAGGAAAGGTCAATTGCGCACCACTTTTTCCACTGCGTGTAGTTTGCGTTTTTGACATCGTCGCGAGGAATGCTCGCGGTGCCTTTTTTAACCAATGAGTGGTCGGTTTGTAAAGAGGAGCAGCCGGGTCGCCGAGTGATTGACCGCCTGCTGTGGAGCCAGTTTGTACGTCTCATGTTTTATAGCCCGATAGGTGTAAAAAAAAAAATTCTTATTTTTCCATAGTTTTTTCATAGTTTGTATGGATTTGATTTTTGTAGTTGTGATGTGCGGAATCTTCCAAGCGTGCTATCTGGCCTGAAGCAAATCCAGCCCAATGTTCTTAATTCCATGTTATATTTTACATGATGTTTCAAATATCAAAATATTTAGTTTATTTTGTGGTTTTCCCAGTCTCTCTTATGAGGTAGATATGTTATATCAATATATTGTCATCTAGTCAAATAGAGTATTGATTTAATGAGTTGTATTATTGACAGATGTGTGGTTACAGTGGTGTTGCAATGGCTTGTTGGATGCCCTCCTCCAGCAGCCGATTGACAAAAGATGTCGTAGTGTACTTACATATGTCCCTACGTACACTAGAGGCTTTTCATGGATTCATTTTGTTTCCTTGAGTCCAACAACCGAGGCGAAGACCTGAAACCTAGATAGTGGGGACTAGGACAGGTCTGGGGAGGCCGGTTGTCTACCGTGCAGCAGCCCTCGGGAAGTGGAATGGGCTCGACGGCGTCGGTGAGCTGAGTGGCGGCATCGACCGCTTGGGCCGCGATGACGTCTCGCCGTTGTTCCGTCATTCCCTTCAAGCCTCGCTCGCTCCAAGGCTGAGTTGGGGCAAAAGAGCGAGGAGCTGGCAGCTGCGGCGGCACGGAGAGAGGAGGAGCTGCGCGGGGAGCACGAGCGACTGAAGGGCGCCGCCGAGAGGCAGCGAGCGGAGGCGGAGGGATGCGCCGCCGGGCTGTCGGCCCGCGCGTCCGCGTTGGAGTCGCAGCTCGGCGAGGTTCGGTCGGAGCGAGATTCCCTCGCGCGGGAGCTCTCCGAGGGCAAGCGGCAGCTGGAGGAGCTGAGCGCCGGCGTCGCAGATGCGCAGTCGCAGCTGGGAGCCGAGAGGGAGGCTCGCAAGATCGGCGCCGCCGAGACGGTGAGCGTGTTCGTGTCACGAGCGTTCCTTTAAGTGTGCACGCCCGGGATTCGGCGTTTTCTGCACAAAGGCGCGGCTAATCTGTATGCGTGATCTCTGATTACCACGGTTGGCTACGTACGGTGCGAGAGAGATTCAACATACACACGTACGTAGATCCGTCCGTACGTGTTCTAACAGGAGCAAACAAGAGCCATGCGGCATTGTATTGATGCCTACACACAACTGTGTTTGTGGAATCAGAAAAAGAAGCACAAGGCAGCGATGAAGGAGGTACAGGCGCAGCTGGAGAAGGCGAAGAAGGAGCATGAGCAGCTGCTCGGCACTGTCATGCAGACGGAGGCGGTAGGTTGCTACATCTTCATCATCATCGCGATAGTGGATAGATCATGGCTGATGATGAAGAGTATCAGCGGTAATGTTTGGCGGCCAGAGAACAATTTCTGGTTGTGATCGAGTACGTGAAAAGGCCAGATGAGACGAAAGAAATCCTTCACTTTCCAAGAAATCATTTAATTTATTGTTTATGCTCTCGGGTGTTATTGAGAGTCATTAGGTCTTGAACGTTTCCCTTATGACACAGAGAGTGCGCTTTGCTAATAACACCGATTTGAAATCGCTATTCAGTCTGCAAGAATCAATCGCGTGAACTCTGCAGAATCTGGCTCGTTGGTAATTTTACAGTCATTTGAAGCCACTCTCCCACATGATACACTGCACACTTGCGTGATATACTGTACGCCGCGTTAATGGGGGCCTTTCGTGTACGTTTCCATCTCAAGTGGTGTCTCTGGCACCCCTGTGACCTTTTGCCGACGGGTGTTCTCCTCCTGTCAGGCGGCGGTTAGCGTTTGTTGGTGTCAAGCGCGGCGCAGAATGTTTCAACTCTCGCTTTTTCGCCCCTCGCCGTGAACGCGCCCAGACGGCGCAGTCGCTGCGCGATCAGGCGGCGGGTACCGCGGCTGAGCTGGCGTCACTGAAGCAGGCCGTGGGGCAAAAGGAGGCCGAGGTAAAGCAACTGCGCGGCAAGGTGGCCGAGTCGGAGAAATCGGCCAAGCAGCAACGGAAGGACCACGAGGGGCAGCTGTCCAAAGCCGCAGCCGAACTTGCGGCTCAGGTGGGTGTGTTATAACTTGTAGCACCACGGTGGCGAGACGTTAACTACCTCGCCTGCTATACAGGAGGTCGTGGGTTCGATTCCGACCCTGACGCCTGTATATATGGAGTTTCCGTGTTTTCCCTGTGGTTGCGTGGATTTTTCTCCGGGTCCTCCGGTTTTTCCCTCCACATTTAGAAATATGCTGTTAGAGTATTTGGCTGCTCTAATTATCTACATGATAAGTCACTGCCTTGAGTGATCATTTGCGGCCATATATATAGAACAATATATAGCTCATTGGGCCTTACCTCGTAAAATAAAAATAGTTTAGTTTTAGATATGAGCCATCTGGGAAACAAACTGAAATACACATTTTTGTAGCCCTGTTAATTTAAGTTCATTCATTCACCATTTATAACTTTTAATCGATCCACTGCTAGATGAAGGTTCCCCACGCTATGTCAGCCGTGGGGGTTGTCTGACCAGGCTGAAGGTGTTCGAAGCAGTATGCAATCTCCCATCCAAACGATTCTCCATGCCAGTAGGCAGTCTTAACCCTGCTGCGCTTCCGAGCTCTGCCACGCTCGGGGCGATTTGGTCATGGGAATTTTATCGCTCGACCTGTCCCATTTGTGCCGTCCGACCGCGCTGCAGACGGAGGCTCTGCAGCTCTCGCAGCAGGAAACGAAGGCCACCAACGAGCACCTGGCCCGGGAGAGGGGCCATGTGGAGGACCTGCAGGGCCGGCTCCAGGCGGCACAGGCCGAGAGCACCCGTCTGCAGGAGGACCTTTTCGGCAAGGAGTCGGAGGTCTCCGCCACCTATCAGGACCTCAAGGTAAGGCCACGGGTGTTACCCCGCCAACCTCGACAGAAGTTGCCGTTTTAACTCGAGTATCGGCCGCTACTTCGCCCGTTTGTACGCTGATGGAGAGGTTTCGTTTTTAACATGGTGCAGGAGGCGGCCATGAATGTGGACAATCAAAGGGAGTCTGAATAAAATCCAGGAGGTCAACTTAAGGAAGTCACTGACTTCCTGGGTTTTCCTGAAGATGTTTGACGTAGATTCAGGCGAAAAACGTTGTATCTAATTGCCAAATTTGGTTGAGAAATTTGTTCTTCAGCTTAGCGGTGAGTGGAAACAATAATGACTGGCGCATTAAACACACATGGACATTGGAATTGGTTTTTTTCTATGTAGGGTGTTGGAGGGTTTTTCGACAGAAATTTGGCCAAATTCAGTATGTGAATAATCTCTGATAATTTAAGTGTTTGCCGAAGCTCTGTGCATTATTATACTCGCTGTCTGGCAAGAGCTTAAAGCTGGTGATATCGCTGTGATGTCACCTCTATGCTTTTTACCTCCCAATATAATAATATCAGTAGGGACCACTTTAACCAAACGTCACAGCGTTTTTCTCCTCCATAATAAAGCTGAACACCTGTGCTGGACATGCATATTAGGTAGGTACATATCCACAGGATATAAAACAAAGTGTCTTTTTGATATGCCGCTCAAAAACCCATCATTGCACGTTGTTGCTGCCGCCTCACAGCAGGTGGCAGCAGAGCTCCTATGCGGTTCATTTGTCAGAGGAAACGTGCACGTGCAACAGAATCGTCACACCCATTTCCTGCTCCGCTCGTGCAGAATTCCGCGTTGGTCATCGGTCCCAGATGCGTGTAAGCGCTGCCTTTTTAATTATTTGTCATCCGTCCTTCCCTTGGTGGGGTGTCGGGGGCGCGGGGGGGGGGGCACTCAGGCTGTGGAGAAGAAGCTGTCAGAGGCGCAGGAGGAGCTGTCGTCATCGCGCAACGAGCTGAGCGGTCTGCAGCAGCGCCTCGTCGAGCTGGAGCAGGAGAAGGCGGGGCTGGCGGCCCGAGCGGCCTCCCAGGCCCAGGAGCTGGAGGCCAAAGTGCAGGCCGCTCAGCAGCTCGAGATCAGCAAGGTCAGGGCCAGCGCTCGCTGCTGTCCGACTGCTCTGCGTGTTTTTTTGTGTGCACGTGTGTGTGCCGTCCGGTATCGTGCACCAATTACATTGTATTGTAGGCACCGCAATCAGTGTTGATAAGTTGCATCTGTCGCCGTTAAGAGTCGGCGTTGTGACATCGCAGCAGGCGCGGTTTTTCGTCCATCTTGTCTGTTATTGGAATTGCTTGTGGACGTGAGGCCACAATAATATCTAAAATTGAGCCTGAATCGAATTCCGTTGGAACGTTGTTTTGCAACTCCACAAGGTTCACCAAACTCTTTGTTGACGGACGTTGATGGTGAGCATGGCCTTCTCATCTCCACGTAGAGCCTGGATAATTTGTCGGTTAAGTAAAATGATAATCGGCTACTTGTTTGGTGGTCGATAACTCGGGCCCCTTTCAAAATGATAGCCACCCCTAAATGTTGCTACATAAAGGCGGGAAACCCCTCTACAGTACGATGGCATTACCAAGCCCCGCTCTCCAACTTCCGTTTGGCGACACACATGGGAACCGAGGTGCCCATTTTTTTTGCGATTTAGCAATTCATTGAACCTATAATTATTTATAGAGTTATCGATTATTTTAATAATGGGATATCCCTGTGCCTGTGCCCACAGGTGCACAAGGAGGAGGAGCTGCAGGCGGAGAAGAAGGCCAAGGCTGCGTTGGAGAAGGCTCGCTCAGCTCTGGAGGAGAAGCATGGCAAGCTGAGCGAGGAGCTTAAGTCCAGCAAGGCACAGTGGGAGAAGGTACGGCTCACCTGACCGGCACACGTTCTCGCTAGATGGTACTCAGGGCGCCGCGGTGGCGAGATGTTAACACCCTTGCCTGGTATGCAGGAGGTCGTGGGTTCGATACTTATGCTGACTGATGCCTGTTGTAAATTTGGAGTTTCCGTGTTTTCCCCATGGTCTTGTGCATTTTCTCCGGGTCCTCCGGTTTTCCTCTCCACATTTAGAATCAACGTGCATTTATAGTATTTGGCTGCTCTAATTTTCTCACATGATAAGCCACTACGTTGAGCTTTCATTTGTGGCCACGTCGCTTCTGAAAACACATAAATCTTTGTATGCCAGCCACGCGGTACGTGCCCACCACCAGCTCGTGCTCACGCCTACCTCCGCGCTGTGACCCCAGGAGCTGGCAAGCTTGAACGAGGCCAAGCAGCTGCTGCTGCAGCAGAAGCGGGAGCTGCAGTCCAAGGCAGAGGGGGCGCGCTCGCTCATGGAGCAGGAGAAGAAGGACCACCAGGCGACCCGCGACGCGTCCACCCAGCGGAAGCAGGAGCTGCAGCAGGAGGCCGCCGCGCTGCAGCAGAAAGTGGTGAGGGTCCACCGAGACCGGCGCGGTTGGGCGGGCCTCACGCCCATCTCACCGATCGCAGTCGGTGAGATGGACTGCCGGTTGGCCCACACTGAGAGGTGTAGTTTCGTTGGTGCGGGCAATTACGTGGAGTGAGCAATTTCCCGCTCACGTTATGACCGTTTCGAGCCGGGGTCGGCAACATGCAGCTCCGGAGCCGCATGCGGCTCTTTACGGACTGCTTAGTGTCGTAATGTACGTCATGTTATGTATCCATAATACAGGTTTTTTTGGGTTAGATCGCGTAAATATATAAATGTGTCGTTAAACCCGCCACCACCCGACACAGCCAACTAGTAAGGGTTGTCACGTAAACAGAACGTGGCCAATTCGTCACTTGTACAGCACACCGGTGTGTTGGAGAGCCAAGCCACAACATTTATAATTTGAGTACGACTTTTGCCAGTAATTACAACTAGCTTTATCAGGCAACAGCCAGATTTGTGGAGAAGTCCTCCTGTTTCGTTCCTTAAATAGAGGCGTAGATGTGATGACAACAATTGTGTGCTCTTCTCGCGCAAAGTGCGGGGGATTAATGTATGTATGTTATGTATGTATTCGCGTGCATCGTGCGGCTCTTGAAATATTGAGTTATGTACCGAATTGGAAACAAATAGCTGCTCTTGTTATTTTGGTTGACGACCCCTGATATAGAGGGAGCTCTAGAGAGCGCCTCCAGGGGGTAATTTGGCCTACTCTTCCATGCTGACCAGATGGCTCAGAATAGGTGGGAACGCCCACACGTTTACTGACCCCACCACCGTTGCCGTCTTGGCTCGAGCCGCTCGCGTAAGCGCCCGTGCCCCCCCCCCCCGCCGCCCTCCCCGTGCCCCCCCCCTCCACTCCCCCACAGGAGGAGCAGAGCCAGGAGGTGGAGAAGCTGCGCAAGGCGCACGAGGAGGCAGAGTCTCGCGCCACGCTGCAGCTGTCGGCGCTCAACGAGAACCTGGGAACCATGCGCAAGGAGTGGCAGTCGGCGCAGCGGCGCACGGCCGAGCTGGAGAAGCAGGGGGACGAGCTGCGGGGAGAGATCGCGGTCATGGAGGCCACCGTGCAGAATAACCAGGAGGAGCGGCGTGTGCTTTTGGACAGGTGGGCGTTCAATCATCCACCCCCACACCGAACCATTGGGCTCTTAGCCACCTGGGGCTTTTCATTTCCCTGATGCAGAGGCCACTGCGGTAGTGAATGGGGCATGACCCCTGGCACTCATGTGCAATATTGTTTGGAGCATTTGGCTGCTATACATTTCCACGGGATTAATAAGCCACTTCATTGAGCTATCATTTGTGGCCAGGTCACTTCTGATAAAGAGCTACATCGATCAGTGGCCCTTACCTGGTAAACGTCGTGGGAATTTTATTGTGGTATTTTATTAATTTATTATTTTATTCTCATTCTACGTGACTTTACTGAAAGAACCAAAGAAGAAAATAATAGTTATTCTTGGAAAACAAGATTTTGCCATTGGATGCCAGACCTGCAATGTGATCAAAGTTGGCCGCGCCCTTGCACGAGTGCACGTTAGTGGAGCAGTGAGCTGTCGTTATATATGTTTTATCTTGATCTGAGGGTGCAAAGGTGGAGTGAAACGGATACAACAACAAAGCTGTGGTCAGGGGACAAACACGTACGCATCGTGGTAATGTTTACGAAATGGTTGGATCGGGAAGTGAGCAGAAGTTTTAGGGCAGTTGATGCTTGAAACTCGAGCCAACAGCGTCTACCCCTTGATATGTGAGTGTTTAACCCCTGACTGCCTGACTATGACCTCTTGACCTCTGACTTGTGTGTTTTTTATTTCGCTCGTTAGTCCCTGACTCCCGCTGAGCCTGAGAGCTATTAGCGCTGTTAAGAGAGCTCATTGAGTGCTATGAACGCCATCATTTATGCTGATTGTGCTGAGCATGAGAATTACTCCACCCATTTAGTAGTGCTTAATAAGCGAGAGTTCTTCTGGGGGATGGTAAACTGGTTTGCTACCGAGTCGATTAACAGACCCGGTCATTTCCGAATGTGTACACCAGCCTATTACCAAGCCCTGTTGGGAAGTATCAGGCAATGCAGGAAATTGCATTGCTGTACTCTGCTTTTATGCTCACCACCCTCCCCAACCCACACTCACCAGCATGGAGAAGTATAGTCAATTAAACCCATTTTGAACAAAGCAACACCGACAAAAACATTGTTGTCATCAACATTTCTCATCATCATCATCAGTCGTGATAAAAAATTCACTGCTGGTTGAAGGCCTCCTCAAATCCATCGCTATCTGTCACGGTCTTGCGATGTAGCAATCCGCCGAGCACCTGCACACACCGCTTTTGTTGGCTCCATTTCCACGGTGGACGTGCTCTCTCTGGCGCGTTCGCTCATTTTTGTTGCTGCTGTGATGTTTGTCTTCATCACCAGCGATCATCCCCCCCCCCCCGCTACTGAAGTGTCCTGCCCCAAGCCGGCTTACTTTTAATGAGAGTCAATAGGACGTGTACAACCTTCTTATGTTGACAACATTTTCCGCTGGAAAATGACACCACTAAACTTCGTCTGAAGGCAACGACATTGCGCAAACGTTTCCCGAATCGGGCTTTCTGCCGCGTCTCGATCTCGCACACTTTGCTCAGAGTCGTTTGTCGTCTGCCGTCTCACTTGGGCCCGTTGGCCCTGGCTGGCGCCGGTGACGCCGGGCCTGGGTTTATTTTGTCGACAATTTTCTTGACTCATTTGCTGGACCTAACGCTGCCGTAACCTGGCGGGATCCCCGGCTCCGTTCCCTGGCCCGCGGGAGGGTATTATTACCCACCCAATAATGCAATATTAGCGAAAGTTATTTCTGAACGCGCTCGCCCAAACCGCATCAGGTGTTCGCCGTATGGATTGCAAGTTGATAGCCGCAGTAGTGGCGGGCACAGAGTAATTTGAGTTAGCGGAGTTGCGCGTACTCAATCTATCCCGCGTGTGCACAGCTGTAGGCGTTCAAGGGAAGGCTCAAAACATTTTGAGAACAAGACGCACAGAAGAGAAAGTCCGGACGACCTATCATTTGGGTTTATTTAAAGCCGTTATATATATAAAAATGCGTGACCGGGTGATAAGACAAATGATTTGATCCTACAGGTTACTAAATTAAATACGTCAAAAGTGTGAATCTTCATTCCTTATTATTACTGTGCTCGTGCATGTTTAGACATCCCCTTATTTGGTTATTTGTTTGGCAGTTATTCATCGGTCATTGACATGCAGTCTTCTTGGGCCCTAATTGGGTTTTGTCAGCCCAAATGTACTCCGGTATTTTCATCTCTTTTACATTAAAAACAGGTTTTTTTTCTTCATAAATGTTACTTTCCGATTAATTGTAGATGAGATTATGAAGAGGCACCAATATGCCAATTCAATAAAAAAAATTAAGAGTAAGACGTAACCAATAAAACGATTCCGTTGTAGTGGATGGCAATGTGCTAAGGAGCTCAATGCCAATGTTGAGGTCTGCTAGCCATGAAGAGGCCTCCAGGAGAGAATTTGTGTGATTTTGCTGTTCCTCCGCTGAACGATTGATGCAACAAAAAACAATGTGCACGTAAATCAGGACGTAATGTAGTTTCTTCCCAACTTTGTTTCCATTTGTGCTCGCGCAATGGCATCGCGCCCCATCACATTGTGCCCCAATCACGTCATGCACCATGGCGTCACGCCCCATCACATTGTGCCCCAATCACGTCATGCACCATGGCGTCACGCCCCATCACATTGTGCCCCAATCGCGTCATGCGCCATGACGTCACGCCCCATCACATTGTGCCCCAATCGCGTCATGCGCCATGACGTCACGCCCCATCACATTGTGCCCCAATCGCGTCATGCGCCATGACGTCATGCCCCATCACATTGTGCCCCAATCGCGTCATACGCCATGGTGTCATGCCCCATCACATTGTGCCCCAATCGCGTCATGCGCCATGACGTCACGCCCCATCACATTGTGCCCCAATCGCGTCATGCGCCATGACGTCACGCCCCATCACATTGTGCCCCAATTGCGTCATACGCCATGGTGTCATGCCCCATCACATTGTGCCCCAATCGCGTCATACTCCATGACGTCACGCCCCATCACATTGTGCCCCAATCACGTCATGCGCCATGACGTCACGCGCCCATCACATTGTGCCCCAATCGCGTCATGCGCCATGGTGTCATGCCCCATCACATTGTGCCCCAATCGCGTCATACGCCATGGCGTCACGCCCCATCACATTGTGCCCCAATCGCGTCATGCGCCATGACGTCATGCCCCATCACATTGTGCCCCAATCACGTCATGCGCCATGACGTCACGCCCCGTCACATTGTGCCCCAATCACGTCCTTTCGGGACTCTCGCAGAGCAGTGCATCACGGCGCGTTAGAGAACGTTAGAGAACGGCCCGCAGAAGGAGATTTTGTAGAACTTATAATGAGCTCCCTTCAAGCGGTATATTTTTATCTACAAGCTAGGGGGCACACTTCTTCTTAAACACCTTGCCATTAGAGCCATAGTGAGACATAATTATCACATTGCAGTAAAATATAATATTTTTTAATTCTCAAAATGTTTGCCGACGAAAGCGAAAAAACATTTTTTCGGGGTCTTTTTGCATTGGCGGTTGGGTCGAGATATAAATTTGCCACGCTTGAGCGCCCGTTTTTAATATTGGGCGACTCAAAGTCGGGATCTCAGCGTTATCGGCTCCCTGCTCACACCTCTAAGCCACCCACCCAGGCCCACTCCAAACGTCCACGTATTTGTTTTTGTTTCGTTTCAATCAAGGTGCATAAAGAGCGAGGCAGATATCGAGAAGCTGCAGGCGAAGGTGACGGAGTTGAGACGGAAACTGGAGGACGTCACCGCGGCCATGCAGGAATTGGGCCGGGAGAACCAGTCTCTGCAGGTGGGTGGGGGAGTCCGCCAGCGCCGTGATACTAGTGCGCGAACAATCACCACTCGGCCGCGCAAGTGGCCAACTTTCCCAAAGCGGGGACCCAAACTAAAAATAAAACAAACTCTTTGGTGATCCTGCTGTTCTTGCATTGTGCAGCAGTCCACAAGGGATCAATAACAAAAACAAATCAATGCATTTGTCAATAACGCTGTCGCCTTAAATGAAAAAACTATAATAGGCTGTTTTTGGACAATGGTCCTTCTTCATAGCACGTAAACTTCAATGATTTGGTGAACATGAGAATCTGGCTAAAGTTGTGAGATTTATCGAAACCGTTTTGGGGTGAATAAAGTACATTATTAATGTTTAATTCCTCAGCGCTATTTCAATTTGCAACCTTCTGACTTGTGAGTTAAGCGGCAAACCGTGGCCCCATTTATCGCACGCACCGAATAATTTATTCGTAGTGCTAATTATCAACACAAGCGCGCCGTGTGCTGTAAGTTGGACACATGGCCCTCGGATGTTTGTCTAGCATAAGCCATTGTGCACCTGTGTCGTGGAGCATGAGATGCTCGAGTCACTGAATAATGAATCCCTCTTACTTAAGCGATAATTCCTAGCTTCTCTTACATAAAGGATGCTGGAATTGACGTTTTGAAGTGGCCCCTTTTGCAACACCCAGCACACGACACCGCACAACCAGTCATCCGAGCGCAACACGCAGATTCGTAGATTACATCGATTCTCGTGTTCAAGATCATCGTCGTCAATCAATTTGCTGGATCTTCGAAGCCCTTACCAATTTGCCTCCCATCTCTCACGCTCCAGCGATGTAGCAACCCACCGAGTACCTGCACACGAGCTGGTATATGCTCGAGATGGATTCGCCGAATAATTCGTTCGAGAATCGATTATTTACAATGCATGGAAATTATATGCATGCGTGTTTGCCTATGACCAAATCACCCAGAATAGGTCCGTCCGATCTCGTGAATTGGCAATGTAATCGGTGTTAAGCCTGGATAGTGCTTGCATGGGCGACCACCATGCATTCGCTGGTGTGGATAGACCGCTGCGGGGCTACGTTGCGGGCAACAGAGGACAGTGCAGCAAAAAACCATCGTATTGCAAGGTGGGAAGCCCCTTATCCCGCAGGGTAATGAGGAAGGATTGTGCATGCAGATGCCCATGTTGCATTTAGGATAATGGAGTGAACGAAAGTGTACAAATGAGAAATATGCACACAGAAAGGTACAAACAGATGGTAAATGCAATACATTACGATCATCCTTTGAATCGAATCACGACAATGAGATGTTAATTTGCTAAGCGGGTAAATAATTACGCGCCTAGCGCCCAATAGTCGCCACCCAAGACTTAACGTCGCACGCATACTGAGCTGCACGCAAACGTGCACAACGCACGCCACCGCTCGCTTGAGTCACGGGCGGCACTCGTGCACAAAACACTTAATTCGCGACAGCAGTCTGTTGCCGTCTCATCCATCCCTTGTCTATTTTTACACACTCGCCGGATAGATCACATGCATCATTCACGGAGCCGCCTCTCTCGTGTGCGCCTAAACTCGGCGTCTTCCCCGTGACAGATCAAGCACACTCAGGTGCTCAGCCGAAAGTGGGCGGACGACGGCGAGGTGCAGAACTGCATGGGCTGCGGGAAGGGCTTCTCCGTCACTGTGAGGAAGGTGAGCGGTGTTCTCCAGCCCTGCCCCCTTGGCCTTCACCGCTACCCTTACCACCCCCTCTCGTCGTCGTCGTCATTATTATAATCGCCATCATCATTGTCGTCGTCGTCAGGATCATCACTATCAAACACAGGCGGTGGCCGTAGCTATCGAGGGTGCAGGCTGTGCAACTGCACCGGGGCCAAAGAGGCACTGGCGTTGGGACACAAAGACGGGGGTAGAATTGGACAGGGGGCCGACTCCATTTTATTCGTTGCCCCAGGGGCAAAGCCATCCACGCAACATCACTGAGCACAAGTTAAATTTTGATTTAAAGCTTTCGTGACTGCAGTAATTCATATTCTTAGCTCTTTCGGTAAAGTCACGTTGAAAGAGCTAAGAATATGAGCACAAGCTGTTTTTTTTCTCATTCTCCCTACCAGGTTTGGTGTTGGGAGTCCAATGGTGCAGATGACACCTTGTTAAGTTGGGGTTGCTGTTCATCCTTTTGGCTAACTGTTGATAGCCACTTCTGTTTTGAACAAAGCGGGGGGGGGGGGGGGTGGTTTCGTTTTAATTACCGCATATGTTGGATGCTCTTATTTTTGTGTCCAGTTTTTTTTTGTTTAATATGAATCGGGGGGGGGGGAAATAGAATGTTTTGAACATTACGGTTCATTTCAGTCGGCGACCGCCACCTTAAGTGACTGCGATTTTCCGAGGCACCCCGCCCCACACTGCTTCACCTGCCTCTGATGTCAGCCTGCTTTGTGCTAATGCATCTCTGAGATCCTTGACGCGGGTCTTGGCATGCCGCGTGTTTCCGCGTGCACGCACGTCTACTTACCGTCAAGTTTCCCAAGCCGCTGCTGCAGTTTCTGTCGAGGTGAAATGTCACAGCCAAGGCTGCGTGTAGGGATCAAGTGCCGTCTTTTTTTTTCATCCCACCCCGTGAACCTTTTAGAACGAGGCAGTGGCTTTTTTGTGACAGTCAGCACTTGCCATCTTTTGGCCTGGTTAAGTTGCCTCGTGTGTTTAATTATATAGATGCCAGAGGTTGGCTCTTTAGTCCCCTATCTATTCCCCCACTGAGTCTCATTATGTGGGAATTTGGACCGAATCCCTGGCTTGCTTGTGGCAGGATTTCCTGAATATTTGTTGAGGTCGTGCACAACTGTTTGTCACTGCAATGACTGCAGTGAGAGTAAAGAAAAAATATTCACTATGTTCAATTGTATTATGTTAATGGATTAGTTTTCTTTTCCCGTCCATGGCCACATGCCAATGCCTTGTCTGCAAACAAACAAAACGCGACATTTGTGGGACTGTTACAGAAAGCGAGGGTGAAGTGAAGATTGTGGCACTTACATTTTTTGTAAACTAAATTTAGCCACGACACCATTAGGAGAGAACGCAACTAACGTGCGTGTGTGTCTTTGTCTTTTTTATTCTGTCCCGCAGCACCACTGCAGGCACTGCGGGAACATTTTCTGCGGAGAATGCTCGGCTCGGAATTCGATGATCCCGTCAGCCAAGAAGCCAGTGCGAGTGTGCGACACGTGCTTCGAAGAACTGAAATGATGAGGCCTAGCGGAGTCCGCAACTGTGGCGGGCACCTGCCCGTGTGGGAGTGCGCGTGAGTGCGCGTGAGTGCGCGTGAGTGCGCGTGCCTGCGTTAGTAAAGTGTGCTGTCCGAGCGTGCCGGTGGGTGCGTGTGAGCGATACTGAGCGTCGGTGCTTGTGCTTGTCCGTGCGTCGTGCGTGTACTCGCGCGTGCGTGCGTCTGCGTCGGTGCGTGCGTGCGCGGTCCTCTTCAAACTCTGCGAGCGTCTTACCGTGGAAAGATCTCCTGCATGCGACCTTAAGTGTCTCATGGATTAACACTACACTAAATGACATCGTATATATATTTTTTATTTAATGTTTGAAAGTCATCTTAAACATGAAGACCCTGTAAAAAAAAAGATTTTAATTAATCTTTCAAGAGAACAAAGAAAAAAAACAATGCAGAAATTGTTTCAATTTTTATTTTGCATTCAACGGTTCCGGCTCGAAGGCGTTTGGGTCACACACGCAGATTTGCTGCACCAACGGACGGCATGCACCCGGTTTGCAGGCAGCGTGCGCAACAACTACAGCCCCAGTGATAATACCTCTAATCGGCGCAGACAAAGCACTGCCTCACCACGGTGGGGATGCAGAGAGTAGCCTCACCTCGTCAAGAGCGCGTTCGGCCATTCGGCGTTCACGTAACAGTCCGATGACGGCTCGCCTCTCTTTCGTCGAGAACGCAGCGCGCTACCGTTGCTGTCGAGGCTATTTTTTTAGCGAATCACGACTTAACCGAAGTAGCTCCAAGAAGCCGCCCTAGCTCCCATTGCCTTACAAGGTTCGCGTCGTTAAGTTCTCCACATTCCTTTTGCCGCGTTTTTGTTTTGTCGCCCGTGATGGCGTGACCGTCGTGTCTCGCGTGGCGAGGTCGGGCATGCCGCTGTAACAGCTTTTCGTTCGTCCTCAACGCCTCGGCAAAACGGTCGGGACGATGGCGGCTGGTGCGGGAGGCGTCGTGTTTTAAACGCTGCCCCTCGCATTCGAACGCGTCGCTCTTTTTCTTTCATGCGGCGCCGAGCGGTGCGGAAACCTCGACCCGCCGATTCCGCGCCGGACGAGAAACGCCTTAAAAGCGATCGGCGTTCTCGAGCATACCACGATAATAATCACCGCGGCAAGTTCTCTCGCGCCGTGGCGTGGCAAGCGGTGGCGGCCGTGAGCCTGAGCGCGTGCGTGCTCGCGAGGTTACAAGCACGGCCCGCTGGGGCGTTTTCCGCTTGCGCGGTGAAGGAGTTCGTGCTCGGGCCAGGGGGGAAAAAGCAACTGCAGAACGACACTTAATGGCGTGAAGCTACCTCCCATCCTGCCCGTGTATACCGGGCACGTAAAGATTTTACCAGCGAAATTTAGACCTTTTTTTTGCCGTCGGGGAGAATGTAGCGCCTCTGCTGGCTGCAGGGATTGCGCGAAATCCAGTTCTTGCATTCGATGCGTTCGGATTGAAAATGATCGATTCTCCCGCGCGAGATTTGATGCATGGGTTGTGAGCGCAAGAATCGTGTTTCATTGCCTAATTGGTGCATCGTTACATGCCTACTCCGAGTAAAACGTGAAGTTACGTAATATTCTGAAACGACTGATAATCACGGCAGCTGTATAAACTAGCGGTACACAGCTCACCAGACATACCACGTATCAACAAGACTGACGATTTTAACAAAATTATAATTTAAGAATATAATATGATTTTTCTTATTGAATGTTATCAAGTGTTTTAAGGTTACCTAAGTACTCGTAACGGAGATAAATGACACTGGGATTGTGCATTGTGGCTTTGTTCTTGCTCCGATTTTCCTTAGCAGACGGAGGAGGGGGAAGGATGTCTGCTCGGTGCAGTGGCCATGATGAGCTCAAACCTTGTTCGTCAGTAACACCGTGGCCTTATCAGTAAAAGTTTGTTCCGCAATCGGCAACGTTGCGGACAGTGGCCCCTTCATCAGAGCGGATGAATCAGAAGGGCAACGAGGAAGAAGAAGAAACTGTTGCCCGACATTGCCGTCTGCGCTCTTTGCCGTTTATTTTAAAGGCTACGGTGCCGTTGACGAACGGGTCGAGTTTTATTGCTTGTGCGCCACGGCCAATGCGGTGTCACCAACATAATTAGTTTCGGCGGGGTGGGGGGCGGTTTGTGAATCACACGAAGTTTTGCAGAGAAAGAACGAGGCACCCACCTGGGTGTGGGTGCCTTTGCGAGTCAGTACAACGGGTAGGTTTAATTATAGGCTCTGGGCAGCGTGGGAGCGGGTTTTCGTTTTGTGTGGATGTTGTCGCACGTGCTTAACGCACCCGAGGGACTGTCTGATGAGGGACTGTCTGATGGGGCCCAACACGGGACCCAGCTGGATGTGAAGAGTAAACTCCGTGAGGCTCTCGTATGTAAAGGTACATCCCTGCAATTTATTTCTCGCTCCGCTGCTGTCGGCAGGGCCTCCGTTGGAGGGTGCTGTAGAGAGCGCTCTCAAGAGCATAATTTGGCCTACTTGCTAGACATCTTGGATAAAGGTGGGAATACCCACACGTTGCCCCACCGCGTCACGACCTGCCCATGGACTGACTGCGGCCGTACCCAATTTATACGACTGTGTTCGGCTCTGCCGGTGGTGCGACAACTCGCGATGTTGTGGACAAAACCACGCTCAAACTTACACCGAGGAACCGGTTTAAGTTTGAGCGAGCGTTTGGTGTCAAATGCACCAATACATTTTACTCCAGAGGCTGTGTTTTCACTCAACAACTTACGTTAACACATATCGACGTCTGAACGTCTTTTTTTTCCCCTGTTGGCGTTACCTGTTCCGGTATATCGAGAGAGACGGTCAATTGAATGTGGATTCTCAAATGACTTGCATTTCAATGATTTATTTTTTGATCTCCGCCGTGGAATAAAAGGCTGGCGGTTGGCATAGAAACTACGTTTCTTTTGGCAATTTGTTGAGCTGCTTAACACGGAACTTATTTTGCCAGTGAATACAGCATCGCTGTAAAAATCCTACCCTGCCCGTGGTCTTCAGTCAAGAGCAAATCGTCGTCTCCTGCCTAAAATCTTTAGCGGGTGCACTTGCGGTGTGCATCGCGGGGTTCTTGTAAGGAAACGTAGGTTATTTTTTGCGTACCCTCTCCGATCCCAGATGCCTCTGTCCAGAACCGACACCAATTCTGTTCACCGTTGCTTCCAGTTCACTTTCCCCAACAACGTCCCGTGCCAAAAAAAACCGAAACGGCACGATCCCTCGTGTCGGCGCTGAGACACGCACGCTCCGGGTACGTCGGCGCGTGCACACACGCGCCGACGTCGCATCTTAAAACTCGCGGTCATCTCGCGGCTCCGTTGGTCTCGAACGCCCCCCCCCCTTCCTCCTCCATCTAAGTGTGAGGATTTGTTTGGGGCACACTACGCAGAATACCCGGACGGATTGCGGAAACCTAGAAAAGGCGGAAGTTGCTTGCGCGCGCGCGCAAAGGCAGACAAAGGCGTTGGTCTGACTTTTTTTGCGGACGTGTCGCTCGCTCTGTTGTGAAATCGTAATCGAGGTGACGCCGAGCGCCGCCTCTTCGTTGTGACGCTCGCGTCGCGTCAACCCCGCCAGCTGTCTCTGCGTCGGTCCGTTTGAAACTGTGGACTCTCGGTCGGCGGCTGTCGGGGGGGATGGAGGAGTGTTCATCCTCAAGCTCTGCCTGGAGGCCGTCGCTTGTTATTTATTGCTCGAGGAAGCTTTGATGCGCGTTGGGTAAAATGCAAGCTGCTTTTCAAATAAATCCTAACAACGCCTTCTAATCTCGCTGATGTTAATAGACAACGTCTGTTATCGTCATTCACGCGATCATCGTTTCTTACGTACATTTGTTAATTTGCACTGATTTTTTTAATTGCAGAGGCCAGAAGTAATTTTTGCACAGTTTTGTAAAATGTAGTTTTTGCATTTTTTTCTTAAAACTACATCTCAACCATGCTTTGTCACCTAGATTTAAAAAAAATCACATTTTCTTTTCAGGATTTATGTCCTACCCACTATCATGATCCGCAGAAAAACGAGTTGCTTAGTCTGTGCCTAGCTCCGAATTAAAAACTAATGTAAGCCTCTGAGCTAAGCTAGGTTAATTAAATACAAAATAAATTAATGTAACATGGGTGAAGATCAACTCGCGTGCATCAGCCAGATGGATTGTTGCATCACAGGACAATGAGGCACGGCTTGGGGAGGGAGGCCTTCATCCAGCAGTTGATCGATCATGGCTGATGATAGCTTATATCACACGGTGATTGGTGACTGGATAGAGAATATCATCGAGATGTCGTTTAGAAGCTGTCACCTATCGGGGGCTCGCTGGATTATTACTTTGCAGAATCACCAGAGGTGGCTGCGGCTTGAGAACGCTTTCAACCAGCAGTGGATTGATCAGGGTCGATGACGATCCTTGTGGGGACCTGCTTTTACCCCGAGTGAGAGCCCGCGAACCGCACCCTGCATTATTGGCAGTTCTTAGTGTTTTTGTGACAGTGGCCTCAATCCTTGTGATCCGGCCAATCTTCATCGCTCTTCTTTGCACAGTTTCGATGGCTTTGGTTTTGAAAACGGAATGCAGTTCTATGAAGCTACGAGCTGGCAAGCCCAGAGCAGCAGTGAGCCCCGAGAGTCGGTGGTCGATAGGAAAGGTGAGGACGTGGCGTGCCGGCTTTTTAATGGTTTTTTGTTTTTATATATTTTCATAACGTAACTTTAGAGTGTAATAGGGCGCTGAGATTTTAAGTAAAGATTTATGTTGTGTAGACATGGATCTGCATGTGTTGAATCATATTTTTAAATAAAATAATACCTGGGGAAACTACTCTGATGGTGTAGAGCTTGTGGATGTATTTTTATTGTTTCTGCATGAATTCTGTACGTCTGTCAGATTTTAAAAATAAACGTTTGACCCTATTTTAAAACCAAACCGTTGGGGGAGTAAACTAAAACTTAATAAACATTTTATTTTATCAGGTAAGGCCCACTGAGCTTTTTAGCTATTTTCAAATGATAGCTCAACGAAGTGGCTTATATGGAAATGTATATCAGCCAAATACTATAAACGCATGTTGATTATAAATGTGGAGGGAAAAACCGGAAAATCCAAAAACCAGAGGTCTCTACACTTACACGGGGAGAGAGGACATACAAACTCCAAATATACAGCAGCAGGCGTCCAGGTGGGGATCGAACCCACGACCTGCATACAAGGCGAGGTAATTAACATCTCGCCACCGCGGCGCCCAAAGCTATGGACTCGCACAAGATTGGCATCCCATTATCTGATGCCGATAGGATTAGAATAAGCTGGTAAAACGACCCACGAAAATTGCAGATGTGGTGGTGCGTTTAATGGTCCTGTTTCCTAAACCCCTTCGGATCTGTGCAACGATGACTTTTCCAGTGTCACCGCATTGAGTAAAATTATTACATGGAGCGAAACTGCTGACCTTGCATCTATTCCTTAAAAAAAAGCTCAGATTCAACAGTACATTGGGCACGTAATGATATATTGGTTAAGATTGATTCTTACAACCACGATGCGTCAAACTGCAACGAAGCGTTGCTTACAATTCATGCGACTTGTACGCATGATGATAGGCTCGGGTTACATTTCGACTCACGAGAGCGCACACAATGGCTTACATGGAGCAGGACAAGAGAGTGAGAAGACAAGATGGCAACAAAAATGAATGGGAGGGAAATCTTTTCTCAGATGAATTCGCGACAGCAGATCGTGATTATTCCTCAAATTTCTGATGGAAGAGGGCATCATACTTTGTAATTTTGTCTCTCAAATTGTGACTTTGCATTAAGACGAAGATTATCATTTGTTTCAGATCTCTCAAAGAGAACGGCCCACAGATACGGATGTCACAGAACTGCCTCCGATATCCCTTCAAGCGACATCTGGTTCGCATAGCAGCGGGCAGCACATCGCAGTCAAACTTTGAATTTTCGGAGCCGGAGTTTAGTCAAATTTAACGTTGCGTATTTTTTCGCGTGTGCAGCCATCGGTCACCGGGCTGGGGGCCAAACACTCGCTGCCCTTGAGAACCCGGGTTTCAATCAGAGGCGGCTGCCTGCATTCAAATACAAAATCTCGGCAACTCCCGACACCCATGTAACTGGTACACTTGCGCGTCGTTCGGTTGAATTCGAAGAGTTTTGTGAAGGCGTGAGAGAGCTTTTAGAGTCATCCGTATCAGGGCCTGCCGACGCCACTGCCGCCACTGCCGCTCGTTACTTATTTTAGCCGGCATCGATTAGGAAGGTTGCAGTTACAGGCACCTTGCTCTCTCGACCGAGGGCAGCAGTGAAACGCGAGCCGCAGGTCTCCATTCGATCCCCATGCGTGCCATCTGCCGCTGCTCCCTGACTCCGTTGCCGCAAGGTCAGGTTAGCGGCAACGACGTCGCGCCTCGCACAATGGGACTTTAAACTGTCTCAGCTGGTGGTGATGGTGGTGTTGGTACTGTCAATTTATTACAGCCCTTGTATCAATCAACTGCTGGATGGTCTCCCCGTCCCCCCTGTCAAATTCGTGGGGGGGGGGGGGGTTGTTTCAGTGCGCCATGCTTCATCGCACACGCTGATTATTGTGGGCTGGCGGAGAGGGCCTCGCGTCCCAGGGGTGGCTCTGAAATAACGCGCCACTGATGTTAGCCGCGACTGGCGAGGGATCGAACGCTGTTCGCCGGTCCCGTAACTCGGGTTACGCGAACTCGTGATTGGGGAAACTTGCTTCGCACCCGATTGTGTGACTTAAACGCGTCTGACGTTTCACGTGTCTTGAAAACGACAATGGAGCGATAAATAGTAATGAATCCCTGTTTTTTTTGTCTGCGGATTCCGCTGTTGATGTGCTCTCGCTGCCGATTAAATGCAGCGGTGTCTGTGGCGCGCCTTGACGTATTTCTGTGGTCGTAAGTCACGTGGCGGTTTGACGGAAAGGGTCCGCTTAGCTCGACGATTCCATCTTTTAAATGGGCAAAATATTACCCTCGCATCTTAACAAACTTCAGCTGCAACGGATCGACGCGGTAATTTCTCTTTCTCTCCCCCCCCCACCCCGTCTGTGACATTCATGAATGAATAATGAGACGCACTGCAGGGGTCTATCCTTAATGCGGGTCGTCAAACAGATGCAGTTTCTCCCTTCTCGGTCCGTTTCACTTCCCCTCCCCTCTCTCCCCGCAAAATGCGCGCGGGCGCATTCCACCACACGGCCAGGTGGCAGCGACGTGACGAGGGGCAGCGAAGCGAACGTCACGTGTCCACTGCGTTCATCAGAAACGAGGGGCAGCCATACGAACGTCACGTATCCACTGCGTTCATCAGAAACGAGGGGCAGCCATACGAACGTCACGTGTCCACTGCGTTCATCAGAAACGAGGGGCAGCCATACGAACGTCACGTGTCCACTGCGTTCATCAGAAACGAGGGACAGCCATACGAACGTCACGTGTCCACTGCGTTCATCAGAAACGAGAGGCAGCCATACGAACGTCACGTGTCCACTGCGTTCATCAGAAACGAGGGGCAGCCATACGAACGTCACGTGTCCACTGCGTTCATCAGAAACGAGGGGCAGCCATACGAACGTCACGTGTCCACTGCGTTCATCAGAAACGAGGGGCAGCCATACGAACGTCACGTGTCCACTGCGTTCATCAGAAACGAGGGGCAGCCATACGAACGTCACGTGTCCACTGCGTTCATCAGAAACGAGGGGCAGTCATACGAACGTCACGTGTCCACTGCGTCCATCAGAAACGAGGGGCAGCCATACGAACGTCACGTGTCCACTGCGTTCATCAGAAACGAGGGGCAGCCATACGAACGTCACGTGCCCACTGCGTTCATCAGAAACGAGGGGCAGCGATTCGAACGTCACGTGTCCACTCCGTTCATGCGCAACGCAAGGGGCGGTTGTTTGAAGACGTCCCGTGAGCGGTACGCGATGTGCACACTCGGTCGGGCCCGCATTCGTTATTCATCACGTGGTCACTCCTGCCTGACACCCATTCGCGTGTCTCCTGAGAAAGATCATCTAAGCCACGTCGAGGCTATTCCGGGTACGCCAATTTATTTCATTTGTCACATTAACAACGGCGCATACAATTGTTTGATACATCATCGCAATGACGTCGATTGTTCATTCAGTGAAAGCGTCGCTGGCTGAGTGTCAAGACGTTTTATTTTATTTTTTTATTTTCAGGAGGGTCCCGCCTGCCACATTGGGATGTTTGGTCAGTGTCGTTCACTGTTAAGCACGATATTAATTGTGTTTGGGCAGGAAACGACGATCGAATGAGTGGCAGCCAAAGGAGCGAAGACGCCAGAAGATGAACAGCTGCACCACGCGACCGCAAGGGATGGCAGCAGCTCAGGGAGGACTCCGGCCAGCAGCAGTGGATAGAGCATGGCGGATGGCGAGGCCATGTGAGGGGACGCACGCGGGGTGCTGAAGTCTCCCTCGCAGAAGAGACGCCTTCGGCGCTAGGGACTCCGTGCCTGCTTCTGAGTAAAGGGCATTGATTGCGAGGGAGCCGGAGTTCGGGCAGGAGGAGGCATCGTCTCGAGCGGGGATTCCAACATCAAGCCCGCATGCCCGCACGCCTTGTCAGACTCGGCACGTCTCAGAGGGCTTTCGCTTGCTTCTAAATAAAGGTGCAGCGATCGATCGATCGATTGGTCGATTGGCTGCTCGAAGAGTGAACCCCAGAATGGGAAGCGGCTGCGCTCTCATCGGACCGCCCCAGGGCTCGCCACAGGAGCGGCCACTCGCTGTGTCAGCCACGATCTATCCACTGCTGGATTAAGCTCCCCCCCCTCCCGTCAAGCCGTCACCAAGTCAGAATGAGAATCTGTATTTAGATTCGTGGAGGAATCCGATGAGCTGTGAAGCTCTTTTTGACAGATGTCCAGTATGGATGGGCGGGTTAGCAAGTGACAACAACAACAACATCAAACAATACAACACAACAACACGATAGGAAGCGCAAAATAAAGGAAAAGGGTGAACAGGTCACGAAATGTAAATAAATGAATTGATTATATATCTTGATAGAAGTCCGATGTATCAATCTCTCACGGTTTCGCGTCGTAATGATCCACCATCTCCTTCCGGCACGGCCGCTCGAACACACTCCGTTCTGCGGCCGTCTGGAATGCTCTCCCCTCCGATATTCGAAATACACTGGAGGCTATGCATTTTTAAGTCATCACCTCGATTGCAAACGCATTTCTTTAGAACTGCTCTTTCGTGTGTTCGTCTCTTGTCCTTCTCCCCCGCATCTCCGATTATCACGGTTAGCTACGTACGGTGCGAAAGAAGTTCAACATACGCACATACGTTCCTTGGCGACCGCTCTTGTCATTATTCTTAACAACAACAACAACGAGAACACCAAATGTTGGTGCAAATAAAATGTAACACCGGTGGTGGTGGTGGGTGTTCATTTCTTTGAAGTTAACCACATGCACAGAATCCACGCGCGACAAGACGCCAAGCAGATTCCAAAGTCGTCGCCCGTTCCGTTCATCTTTCATAAACGTTGCTTGAACGTTTGTCGAACGTTGGACTCGGCCGTGCCCCCACGCGCAGTGAACGAGGTGACGCTGCTGCTGCTGCTGCGCTTATGCGCGGTGCTGTACAGCGCGGATTGCTGCCGCAGCAAAGAACGGAAGAGCCTCCAATACCACTGGGGCACATCTCCCATTAACATCTCCCACTAACATCTCCCACTAACATCTCCTATCAACATCTCCCATTAACATCTCCCACTAACATCTCCCATTAACATCTCCCATTAA